CTTGGCGCTACGTCCGGGCTATATGGTGATGCGATAAACCTCCATCCGAGCTCCTGAGCTCTGACGAGCTCATCAACGAAGGTGGTCTGGCGTTGTCCTGGTGGAACACTACACCCTTCCTGTTGGCCATTCTGGACGCTTCGGTCGATCGCCTGCTTCCAAGCGGTCCAGTTGTTCGTAGATGGTAGAATTAAGCGTCTGGCCATATGGAGCAGCTCATAGTGGATGATTCCTTCCAATCCCACCAAACACGCAGCAAAACCTTCCTGGCCGTCAATCCCGGCTTGGCCACTGTTTGGGACGATTCACCGGCCTTCGACTACGACCGTTTTCGCTTGATATTGTCGTATGTGATCCATTTTCGTTGCCAGTCACCATCCGCTTCAAGAATGGGACGAGTTCGTTCCGTTTCAGCAGCATATCGCAGGCGTTGATTCGGTCCAGGTTTTTGCGTCAAATTATGCGGCACCCAAACATTAAACTTTTGTATCGAGCCTTCTGCAGATGGTTTGGTGACTAACTCCATCTCCTGGGCGATGTCACGAGATGCCATATGCCGGTCTAACTCGATGTATTCATGATTTGCTCGTATTTGTCGTCACAGGACTTCCGCCGGCTGGCTTATCCATGGTGTCGTTTTCACTGGCTCTGAATCGTCGAAACCATTCCTCCGCGGTTCGAAGTGGTAGAGTACCATCCCCCAAACACCATTAATCTCACGGAACGTTTCTCTAGCGGATTTGCTTTTAACGAAGGAAAACTTTAAAATAGCGCGAATTTCGGCGTTAGTGAACTCCATGTTTACACGTCTATAACTGTTGAACGCAATATCCAAACTAATCATGCATAGCGTTGTTTTGTAGGTTATGTCAAGACCTTTCAAATTATGTATAGTGTTGCCAGATACGAGCTCTGAGCGCTTTGTATAAAGCCGCGAAATTCAAAAGACAAAAAAGCGGAAGGAAATAACGGCCAACCTTATATTTCGCGTACATCTAGAAATATATAATGTCGATGAAAGTACTTTGTGAGTTGATCATTGAGCAGAACCCGTCGTTAATTTTATGCCTCCAGTATTTTCACGACAGCTAGCTTATTTATTTAATGTAAGTACAATCGATACAATTAAGTTCTGAATATAACATCATTCAAATGGCCCTACGACTTCTTTTGGTGGAACGAATTTAATGAATCAATTATCGACTATCTTCTTCCAATCAGTCGTATATCATGAATAGCACGTTCAATATTGAGTTCTACAGCTTGAAGAGAGTCTTGTTAGTTGCTAAAGCCTACGACTATAAATAACCCCACAAGAATTATTCTAATGGTGTTAAATCACAACCCCCTTGGAGGCCATTCAATGTTACAATTTCTTGAAATTATCGAATCTCCAAATTTTACTCGCAATAATTTGGTTGTTGTACGTGCTGTGGGCACGTAGGCCGTCCTGTTGGAGCCAGATGTTGTCAAGATCAACTTCTTCCAATGCGGCCATAAAAGATGGTTACCATCGATCCATACCGCTCCCACTAGATTCCACCAGACCAAAACACACCAAACTGCTATTTAGGTGAATTTAAGGTTGTTCATGAATATTGTGGATTTCTTCGCACCAGAATCAGTTTTGTTTATTTACCGCACCACTCAGATGAAAGTGAGCCTCATCAGAAGACGATTTTCTTAAAGAATCGTTATCGTTTCGTTATTCCAAGGCAAAATCAGCAAATTCACGAAGTTCTGGTGGTCCAATCGCTTAAGTTCTTGAGTGAGAACAATTTTATGCAGATGCAAACCCAAATCCTTTCAAAATCCGCCAGGTTGTGGTTGAGATAGTATTATTCTTGCGAACGTCTTGTAATGACAATCGCTCTTCAGCAACGCTTGCTTAACGGCAGCAATATTTTTATTACTTCTAGCGATTCTTGTTCATTGGCATTGAACATTATGTAAAGAAAATGTACGCTCGATATGTTTAACAATTCGACGAATAGCACAGGTGAACATTATTACGACCATAAAATGGCAAAAGCGCACAGTTGCAATTGGAAAACTTTTTTGATAATAGATAATAGTTCATTTGTAATCATTGTTCTTGCGTATATCTTCCATGAATGAAAATTGTATTGCTGAATATAATTTAAAAAATTACCGACCATGATCATAAAAATAGCCGAAACGACATTTAGAAATCATATCATCCCTAATGTACAATAAAACCCGATACTTTTCAAAATACACAATCACTATAATTTAAGCAAGCGTTGAAACGTTGAAGTGATAATCCCAATGATATTTTTACACTGTTTCAGCACTTGGTCCATGAACGATTGGGTTTTTATGGTGCACATTGTATCTGGATTATGTTGCAGTTTAATGGAAGCTAAATGATGAATGCGCTGTTCATCAATAAAGTTGCTGCAATGCCAGATGATGCAACGGCCAATGCGATATTATTTTGATCAAATCTCAGCAAAGAGTAGTGAAATAAGAATGTTTTGCCAGTTCCACCTGGTGCATCAACCAAAAATAACTCTCTTTCCTGCTAAAAATGCCAGCACAATGCGGTCGTAAATTGTTTTTGATCATCACTTAGTAGTGGAACATAGAAACAGCAAATATACTGTCCCAATGATTGTCATATTCTAGCAAGCTTAGTGCAAGGCATATATCCGTTGGATATTTTCTATTACTTTACGCATTTCTTGAAATGATAATAGTCTGGTGATATTAACCAACAGTCGCAGATAAAAGCACTCATTCTGCCTTGGATTGACTGTATATACGCGACCCAAATTGGTTTGATTCGAGTAACCGGGGCATGCATAAAATAGCGTATACTTCTGAATAGAGCAGTGTTTGTGTAAAGGCACTAAAAACATTCGCACGGTTGCGCATGTTAAAGTATTATGATAATAAAATTAAAAGACTTAATGAGAATAAAATAAGGTGACTTCTTTCATACATATTCTGTAATGGCGGCGATAACTGATTAGTTGATAGAACATACATTAATGCTCATGTAGTATACTATAATCTATTGTGGATAGAACAGAAATAACGGTTACAATCGGAGGTTGATCGTATAAGTGTGTTTAGAATTGTATGTATTGTTTCATGCTGAATCGTGAAATATACCAAAAATTTTGTCCAAAAAGTATATAGGTAAAGTAAAACGTTCTTCGGTTTTTTGATTTTCAAAGATGATAACTTTGTGTACATTTGTCCGATTTAAGTCAAATAGGCGTTTTGTTTCGTAAACTTAATGCCAACGAGATGCCAACTTCATTATACCTCTCCTAGAAGACTGCGTCCTATTGCCAAAAAACTCGGAGAGCCAATTTTCACAGGCCTCTCTTGAGGCCAACTTCTATATAGCGCGTTCGCCATGACAGGAAAAGATAGTAATCACTTGTGCCAGGTCCGGACTATAGGTGGGTGCATTAGAACCTCCATCCGAGCTCAGTTCTGGCGAGTCACCAAAGACGTGTGGTCCTGGCGTTGTCCTGATGGAACAATATCGGCCTCTGTTGATCAAAGATGGCCTCTTATGGATGAGTGCTGCCTTCAAGCGGTTCAGTTGTTGGCAGTAGAGGCCGAATTGAGCGTTTGGCCATAGGGAGCAGCTCGCAGTAGATGGATTACTTGCCATATCCACCAAACACACAGCAAAACCTACCTGGCCGTCAATCAGGTTTGGCACACCATCTGGGCCGTTCCCGAGCTTTGACCACGACCGTTTGCGCTCGATGTTGTCATAAGTGACCCATTTTCATCGCCAGTCACAATCCGCTTCAGAAACGGGTCGATTTTGTTGCGATTCTGCAGCGATGCAGATGGAAATTCGTCCATCTGTTTTGCGTTAGTTCGTGTGACACCAAACATCGAGCTCCTTTTGAATCCAAGGATGCAAATGGTTCCAAACGGTTTTCTGGCTATCTTTAGTTCCTCAGCAATTAAACAAGTGCTCACGTGACCTGTTCACTCATTCGATTTATCGCAATTCGAACAGGCCTCCCGACGCAACCTAGCAAATCACTTTTGTGCTAGCACGCGTTTACAGTATCGGTCCATAAACTAAATTAATGTTTTCAGCCGCTTTGGCTGTTTTCGCTTTGATCGAAGAAAGTTGTAAAATATAGCGAATTTTCTTTGTTGGTGTCCATCTTTGACGAGCGCTCACAAGAACGAGTAAAGCAATCGGAAAACTGTCAAAGACAAACTTAGCGCGAATATACACGTTTCAGCCGTATAGAATGACATGATGCTATGGTGATGTACTATGGACAATAACGCCATCTCTTAGATAAAACCGAACGAACTTTTTACTTGACCTAATATAATATTTGGGGATGTTGGCCGATTCTCAGACCTACCCGTTTCAGAGGAGTTTGGAAACAAACAAACATTTGATATAACTTGCTATGTATATATTAAAAAAAGTTATAATAAAAATATTTAAAAACAAATTACTACTTTTATATTTTAAAACAAAAAAGAAAATAATAATAATACTTTTGAAGAAAGATCGTAAATAGCTGCCTATTTTTATACCCTAAACAGGGTATATTAAGTTTGCCACGAAGTTTGTAACACCCAGAAGGAAACGTCGGAGACCCTATAAAATATATACATAAATGATCAGTATGATGAGCTCAGTTGATTTAGCCATGTCCGTCCGTCTGTCTGTCCGTCTGTTCGTTTGTCTGTATATATACAAACTAGTCCCTCAGTTTTTAAGCTATCGATCTAAAACTTTGCACCTGTCCTTTTCTCACTAAGAAGCTGCTCATTTGTCGGAACGGCCGATATCGGACCACTATAACATATAGCTGCCATACAAACTGAACAATCGGAATCAAGTGCTAGTATGGAAAACTCTTTCATTTCACGAGGTATCTCCACGAAATTTGGCACAGAATATTATTTAAAGCATTAGTGCAAGCTCCGAAAAAATTGTACAGATCGGATGACTATAACATATAGCTGCCATATTAACTGAACGATCGGAGTAAAGTCCTTGTATGAAAAACTTTTTCATTTGACGAGGTATCTTTCCGAAATTTGGCATGTATTATTATTTAAGGTAACAACATAATTCCCGAAGAAATTGTTTTGATCGGATCGCTATGTCATACAGCTATCATATAAACTTAACGATTAGTGCCTGCTTGCGGTAAAGTGCCTGCTTGGAAAAAAATTTTATTTTTTATTGCCGATTCACAAAATTAGATCTGAATGAAGTTATTATAAGGAACCTTTGTACCTGTGAAGGGTATTATAGCTTCGGTGCAACCGAAGTTACCGTTTTTTCTTGTTTTAATATTAAATAATAATTATTTGAGTTTATAAGTAATAAGAAATTAATGGTAGAAGTGATAAAAATCCGAAGAAGTACTTAAATTCTACTTGCTATTACCAAAAAAGTAAACGGACTAGGCTAACATGATCGGTCAGCTTGAACGAAATACAGTGATCCGATCCGAACAATTTGTTTGAAGATTGTTGTGTTGTCTTGGTCCAGCCAAATTGTGTGAAGATATCCTGTCAAATAAAAAGTTTTCACGCAGGGGCTTGTTTTTAATAGGTCAGTTTGTATGACATCTATTTGCTAAAGTAGTCCGATCTGAACAATTTACAAAGGGGTCATTGACCCCATAAAATGTAAACAGAAGGGTCATTGACCTAGCTGTAAGCAAAGGTTGTTGACTTCGATAAATGTAAACAAAAGGGTCATTCACCCCATGAAACGTAAACAATGGGTTAATTGACCCCTTAAATTATTGAAAAAGTTGAAAACATTCTTTTTTTCCAAGAAACTGCTAATTACTTGGTTCCGATATCGGACCACTATAAGATATAGCTGCCATACAAAGTGATCGCTTAAATCAAGCCATTGTTTGGAACCGGTAGAAAGAGTGAATATTAAAATTTAACAATGGAAGTCTGAGAGAAAGTATTCCAAATTTTTATTGGACTGTTAATCGCATGATCCACAATATTGCCTTCCCCACAAGAGAGGAGTGGAAAAGGGACGAGGTGGACAGGAATACAGGAATTAGCATCTACACGGATGGATCCAAACTGGATAATCGAGTGGGAGGTGGTGTCTTTTGCGCAACATTGGACACCAACATCGCCTACCGTTTACCAGACCACTGCAGTGTCTTCCAGGCGGAGATCACAGCAATTAATGAAAGCCTTGTGGTATTGACAAAAAGTGTGCTCACAACAAGGAGCATGTATATATATACGGATAGCCAAGCGGCCTTGAAATCACTCAAGTCTCCAATGGTGTCATCCAAGCTAGTGAAAGGTTGTCTTGACCTATTAGAGGATCTGACATCTTACTTCACAATAAACCTGCAATGGGTTCCAGGACATAGTGATATTCCTGGTAACTGCGAAGCAGATACACTAGCCAGAACAGGCACCACTTTGCAACTAACCCCTGAAAAAGAGGGTATTTTATGCCTCTGGCAACTTGCGAACACTTAATCAGCGAACATGCTATAAATATAGCTGAGTCTCGCTGGAGACAATCAATAACCTGCTCAACCAGCAGATTAACGTGGCAGGAATGGAGCGTGAGTCGCAGAAACCAACTACTAAAATTTAAAAGGAATGATATAAGAACTCTGATAGGAGTACTAACAGGTCACTGTCTAATTGGTAGACATGCCAGTAGGCTAGGTGTACCATACAACGACTATTGTAGAAGCTGTCAAAAAGTAGAAGAAGAGGAGACTGTAAAGCATCTTTTATGCGAATGTAAAGTTCTATATAGGAAAAGAATCGCAACTATCGGTCGTGGATTTCTTGACGACGTATCAGAAGTTGCTAATATAAAATTATTTGTACTGATAAACTTCATCAGGAGCACAGGTTGGTTCAGAGAGGAGACGATAGAGTGAGGGAACATTAGTCCCGGTGGTATCACAATGGGCCTCCTATAGGCCTAGGTGCGTCGTAGGACAGCCACTCTACCTACCTACCTAATCGCATGATACTTAGAGACTTACTAATCTAAAAAAATTAAATACTTTCAATAGACGAAATAATAAAAGTATGGTATTTTACTTACCACGGTGTAAATGAAGTTTGGTATCTACTCTGGGTACCCAGTTACAGTTTACCTATCATAATCAATTACCACTCATACGTCCACGTCAAGAACCCCTGGCAACTTGAGCAATCCGGAGCGAGATACGGTAACTAACACGTGAGGAGCTCAGGATCACGGCTAAGAGAGAGGAAGTTTTGGTGGGGATATTCCGACTTAATCGGTTTAAGGGCTCACCAAGGTCTGCAGCGGCTGTGCATTGGGAGATACAGCTGCAAGCGGACGTAGTGAAAAATTTTACTTCCTAACCGGGGCAGGGGGCTGAGCTTGGGGCCCGCCATGCAAAAACAGCACCCAATGCAACGACCATTAAAGTCTCGAAATGAACAAAGGACCATGAGCTAAGGGTGATCTTGGACTACCCGGACCCTCTATAGTGAAGGTGCCTCTGCCAAACTAGAGGATGTCCTGGAGAAGTATAAGGCTGAGATCACCGCCATCCAGGAAATTCAGTGTACTGTAGTAGTATAAGACATTACTACAGCTGTCATGCAAAGGAGCACAAATATGGTGTTGGTTTCGTGGTGAGGCGGAGATTTCGCCAACTCGTCTGCGGATTCACTCTTGTAAACTAGCGAGTCTCTACGATCCCCATCAAGGCCAAGGTTCACAACATCAGCCTAAATTGTGCATTTGTCCTAACAACTAGACCAAAGATGACTTTTGCACTCGAACACGAATACGAACGCTGCCCCCGCTGCTATATAAAATACGTGTTGGTGACTTCCACGCTAGGAAAGTATGTTTGTGGTGCCAACATCTATTCGGACCACTACTTCGGGCCAAGGTTCCACAAAAACACACAGACAAGGATTTTGCAACTCCACTCTTACTCCTGCTATCTACCAGCACTTTTCAACTCGATGATGTATGCACGTAGTGGATGAAAGAGAAGTCATAGGCCATCCCAATCAAAGTCAAATTGACTGGTAAGATGACGAATATCGCGTCGCCACTGTAGAAAAGTACGCAGCTTACAGTACTGCAGTTACTGAGTACCGCAGCGACGCGAACTATTGATAACTATATCGTGAGGAGGGAAGAGAGTTTCCAAACGGAGTAAGAGAGGCAGAAATATGTAAGTGCGAGGAGCTTCAAGTAGAACACGAGGGATCAGTTTTCTGAATATCGCATTTCATATGTGCTTTAATTGTAAGCGATTTTTTTCAATTCAGTTAATTATATTGTAAATTATTGAAGTTTCAGATAACTTTTTAGATGGCTTTATATCAAAATACATACATACAAACAACCGTTAGGTGAATAAAACGTGTATACTATATAGCTTCATTTTGCGATAGTATTACAATGTATGTATAATAAACAAAATATTGAGATAAACTATTTGATTATTTCAATAACAATTGTATGAAGAATTGCGAGGGATTTTGGTAATTTTTAAACAGTTTTGAGTTGTTTCATTACCGAAACAATTCTCTAACAATTTATTAATTTAAAAGTACATATATACATCTCTTATTCAATTATTTTTATGTTGAATCAATGTTACTATTAATTTTCCATATATGGTATGTATGTGTAGATTTATTTTCTTGTACAAAATTTACTTATAACTATATCAACTATATATATTATCGTAAGCATATTGTATAATTTACGAGTAAATATTTTCCTCTTTATTCCTTTAATTCCGCTGTACACTTATTGCTGTGCGTGCGCTCGTTTTAAATACTCCATGCAATGCTGCCAAAATATATGTATTGTATGTACTAACAAATTAATATTAAACAATAATAAAAGGATCGCGAATTTGTTGAGCTTGAAATACCGTACAACGGTCAACCGAAGCGTACTGGTTCTCCATCGCCAATGGCTAGTCCTGCCCATTCAACAAATAGTGCCGTTGGCTTAATGCACTCATGTTGCGGCCGTTGCTGTTCTCAACGTTATCAGGTACAATATGAAAATCACAACTTACCACTTGTATAGGTGTATGTTTTTTTTAAATATGTATGTATAGAATTTTTTTTGTATAAAAACACTTTGTGCTAGAGTATAGAGCAGATTACTTCTTGAAAGTGTCCAATATCTTTTTTGGTAACCAATTGCATGTAATATGACACCATAACCAAAAAGTTTTGTTTAATTTTCTTTTGTATATGAATCCTTCAGTTACGACGTTTGTAACGTACTCGTACATATCTTTAACACGTTCACGCCGGCGCCGATTTTTATTTGATTGTCTATCTTGAATCTATGTCTCGTTTCATCTGGCGGCGCGCATTTCTCGCCTGTTCAGACTTGCACGCGCCTCTTGTTTCCTCAGTAGTACATAGAATGCTTACTTTGCAAATTTTGTGACTCGTGCCGTTTTTTATGTCCTGACCACAGATAGACCGCCTCACCGGGGGTACGCGCCGGCGTGAACATGTTAATATACCCAGGGGCGATTTGAGATAGATTGATAAATTTAATACACGTGGCGTGAGGTTGATATCGTAGATAAGAAAAATATAAGTATTGCCACGCTATTTATATTTGATATGTAAAATCATAGTAGTGAGGGACATCTGTAATTTAAAATTAATCCCACCAGACTTAATATACATATTTCTTAAAATAATAAAAATATATCAGCCAAAGTTAGTGAAAGCATTGCTTGCTAAACTTCGTGACGCGGTGTGAAAGAAGGTGAAATCGAATAATAACCACACACACCCCGATACAAAGGTTATGCTCAAATCTGCTTAATGTACCATAACTCTCCAACAGACGTCAGAAGAATCAAATTTATCCATAAATACCTTATTGGGGGTTCAAAACTCCAAATATTAAATCAAACTTGGTAGATAACATAACATTGACATCCTTTTGGCACCTTTTTAAAATACTGGAAATCGGACAATAATCACGGATGCTATCTACATGACATCATTCTAAACTACTCTAGCTTGTTTGACTTTAAAATAGATGACTCAAATAAAAAAAAATATATTAAAAACATAGCCCAAATATCGGCACAACTGTGTTCCAACTCTCATCTAAAAACGGTCAAAATCGGACAATACCTTTTTCAAGTACCTCGATACTGAGTATGAACACCTCAGCTCCTGTATCTGTTCCATACCGAAAATATTGTGTTGTAATCTTCTTTTAATACGGGTTACATGATTATTTGAGTTATAATCAGAGTCCTCAAACACCGAATACGTGGACTCTTGGGGCTATAGCTGACGTTTCCCCGAAAATATCGAACCTTTTTCTGATTAAAACGTACCATTGTGCCAAAATGGATAAAATCGGGACAGTAGTTTTGTCCTCTAGCCCCCTTATACCCAATATGACAATTTCAAATTTCCGGTTGGCTTTATAGGTACTTTAGAAATCGATTATTATGTAATATACCTTGTGACCAGAAAGCTTCCGGAAAATGTAAATAAAAAGAAAAATTTTAATCATCATCAATATTTATTTTGTCGCCTTCAAAATATGCTCCTTCTGAAGCGATACTAATATGCCATTTCTTTTTCCAATCATCGGAACATGCCTTGTAGGCGTTGTCCGGGATCGCCTTCATTTTCTTTTACGGCATCAATCGAGTCGAAACGTGTTGCACGGCAAACCGTGTAAAAAGGAAATGTTAAATTATTCAAAGCTCTAAGAAGTCTAACGTTATTATAACAACTAATAATTTAAAACAAATTAATCTGCCTATTTACCTATTTTCAAAAAATTTCAACCTTGAACAAAATATTTAAATTTCATTGTAGTGAAAGGTTTTAGTACGGCAACAACGACATTGTATATTGATATGTTGCTGCCGTCTTCAAAATAGTAGCTGGCTTCAAGACGACATTTGCTGACCAGAAAATTTCGCTGTCATGCAGTCGTTTTTGTGTTCAAAGCATTAGTTGAAAATGACCTGGCCTAATTTTCGAATTAATAAGGCAAATGAACCTTGTTTGCGCATGTATTACAGATATGAGACGTTAAACTTGTTAAAACGAATAATTATCAATATTGAATTTACCCAAATGACTGTTTGTCAGCATGCAAATTAGAATTATTAAATTTATTAACGTAAAGACAATTTCTAATCTTTTTTGTAATAAAATTAAGAATATGCATAATTTGAAAATAAGTTTATTGGATACTAGCTAGCTTTGTTTAACAGATTGAAATTAATTAATTAGTTACTATCACAAATAATTGTAAAAACATATATCACTCAAATCCTTTATGGAAGGTATCCATACAAATGTATGTATGTATATACAAACACCGTTCGTCACATGTATACGTGATACAATTTGCCAATGCAGGAATAGTGTTGTTTTTTTGTACATGCTTTTTACACTATGTTAAGACCTAAAACTTATTTCTTTAAACCAAAATTAATCGTTTCACTACGTTTATCCTACTGTTTTATATTATTTACGATGGACACATTCAGAAGGCGGAATATGAGAATGCGACTGTGGTTAAAGCATGAGTGGTCAGTGAGCTAAACGTTTTGCGCCTTCTTAACGCATTTTTAATTTAGCTGTTAAACTTTGACTTATAGCATTAATGACAGCAATAAAAAGTATATGGTATAGAAATAGTTATACTTTTTAATAATAACAAATGGAAAACGCAATTATACAGTAGCAATTCCTTTCGGGTAAAACTGAAAATATTCTTAGTTTTTCATTGCTTGGCAACCGTAATTCCTAACCAATCACTAACAATATAAGCAATTGTTTACGGTTGTTATTTGATAATGGTGCAAAAATTAAAAAGAAAATCAATGTTTTTAATAAATTATTAGTTGTATGAGAACTATTTTAAAGGCGACAACATTACTCTATACATTTTTTTCAAACACAAAAATTCCCGTGATTTTTTAAAGTCACCTCGTATACTCGTATTGTTACCAAAAATTCGTATAATTTGTTTATACTCGTATATTGGCATTGGAATAATTTATATTACACTCGACGTTAAAAATATTCTGTATTTTTTTAACGCTTTTCCCCAAAAACTTGTCAAACTATTTATCGTTAAAAGTTATGAAACAGATTTTATAGGTATAGTAAAAAGAAATACAGTATTTTTGCAGTAAATTGAAGGTTTTATTTAGCAAAGTTAGCCAGTGTTTGTTGCCATTTTGAAGGTAATTTCATAATGCCACTCTCATAGAAATCCTCGTCCATGTTAAAAAAAAAATACTTGGGAAAGTCGCTTTTCTAACTCGTCTTTTGAAGAGAATTTTTCACCAGCAAAATCAGTCGAAATAGACAGGAATAGGTGGTATTAATACTTTCTGCCAGGTTTCGACTATAAGGTCAATGTATAAGAACCTCCCTTCGAATAAAGACGAAAACGTTATGACCGGAAAAAAGTTGATAATTTAAAATTAGCATAAAATGTTGAATTTCATATCTAATTAATCTTTTATGTTATAAGTTTGGAATAAATGAGTAAATTTTAACGTTGTTTGCTGATATCATTGAATTTTATAAAGAAAGTAGGTAAGGGAGATACGTAGTTCTTTATATTTATACCCTCGCAACATTTTTCTATAGATCATAATAGAGTGGTTCCCCTAACGGTTGTGCAAATGATAAGATGATGGCAAAATGATGACGAGACGGGTTAAAATTTGGGTGACTGGCTGTCCGTCCGTCAGTCTGTGTACGCTGCAACTTGAGTAAATATTTAGATATCACGATGAGACTTAGTGATTATATTTCTTCGCGCTCAACGGGGGTTGGTGTTGCAGATTGGCGGGATCGGACCATTGCCATGCCCACAAAATGCTGTTAAGAGAAAACACATAAAGGTCTATAAATATGCTCCAAATTAAGATACAAACCCATGTTTTGGTACAAGGTATCGCAGGCGAAATGGGCATCTGTGCATTTAATTTTTTTAAAAAGTGGGCGTGCCACGTTCGTTAATATTTCACAAACCATTAAAGCTATTTCAACCAAACTTGCTGAAAGGAAGCCCTTCAAGTACTTCTTTATTACTGTGAAAATGGGTTAAATCAGATGATAACTACGCCACTCCCCATATGACGGTTGTGTTGAAAACTATTAAAAGGACGATAACAGTTACAGAACATGTGTGGTACCGCCCACCTTTAGTGGAAGTCCTATACCTCAGAAACTAATAGACAAATTTCAGTCATGTTGGTTCATGACATTATTTTATCATTCGTATGTCCCATTGTAAAAATTGCGAAATCGGACAACAACCACGCCATTTTTCTATATATAAAACTTAAATTCCTATTTGCAAAACTCTCAGCTATATCATTGAAATGCAGAGAGATTCTTTTCCTGATCTTTTTCTTCAATTGGTGGTGGTCTAGTTAAATAGTTTAAATCATTTAGGTGGATTATGGATTGTATGGTGTATGTTATGCTTTGTAGACAAAATATAACTCTAACTTCAAAATATTAATGAAAGTGTAATCTAAATTATTTATTGCAGGCTTGCGGAAAGTATATGCCGGCCTCGGGCAATGCTCAAAACAATGAAAACAACCAGCCAATGGACGGTACATACCTGGTGGAGGCTTCATTTTAATGCGTAATGTTCTTATTTACCAAAAGTTGCAAGATAAATTTACTTATTCATAAAATATTAGATATTGAGAATATCACTTACATAAATATTCTAGTTGTAAATATTACTTTGTAGCTTATCGAAATTGAGAAAACTGTATCTCAAAACTATGTTTTTATTTTAGCACATCTATATGATATGATATTTATCATTCAAACACAGTTGGTAATAATTGTTTGCCATTATTTTGTATAATAAAACTCCTCGAAAACTAAATAAGGGTTTTAGTATATGCAAAGGATACAGTGGGGACAAATCTCTCTAAAAAGTTTGATATACCTATATATTTATTTGCTCGCCAAAGTGTGTCTCTATATTACCAAACACTATAAATGACTTAAAGTAAAAGATTGAAGGAAAGAAGAAAAACTTGACTTTGACTTGACAATTAAAATACGAAAATAATACGACATATTGTTGATATATTTCTCATGCGAGACGGGGTGAAATTCTATTTTTGTTATTTGAATGTTAGGAAGGAAAATCGTGAACGTTTTAGTTATTTCTACAAATAGACTCACGACTAGGACTTGATCTAATGTAATAATTCTAGCACTTGAATCTCAATGTTATGCCGGAAAAGAGGCACTCAAAAGAATTACATTAGATGGATAAACGCTAGCTCTGCAGGAAAATGTCTATATATGGAAAAGCAAAGACGAATCCAAAAAGCTGGAAAAATTTCGTAAGTCAGAAGGAAGTAAGTAAGAAGAAGAAAAGTGAAAAGGTGTAAAAATAGTGTTTGTAATAGGTAAGGTTGTTTTCTGAAGTGATTTCTACTTCTTATTGTCAAAAAATTTGTATAAAGTCAATAAGGATAGTATTACCGTTATATATCTTCACTCATTTTTGACCTAAACAAAAAATATTATAATAATTACTTAAATGTTATAATAATTACTTAAATAAAGTAAAAATATTGTAAGTAATCCAAAATCGTTTTATGATTTCGTCAACTCCAAACGCAGGATTTCTAAATTTCCGTCCGCAATGAAATATAAATCTATCATTTCAAGTGACAATGATATTATATCCAATATGTTTGCAGAATTTTTCAAGTCAAACTACTGTAATAATTCTTCCAAAACTTTTTCTTATCAGCAAGTGCTGTGTTCGAATACTTTAATTAACGCTCCAATTATTTCTGAAGAAGACGTCCTATTTAATTTAAATAAGTTAAAACCATCTTTTAGTTATGGCCCAGACATGATACCCTCATGCTTCCTAAAAAATAGTGCCAAATATATTTACCTGCCTTTGACAAGGATATTTAATTCCTCTCTTAAACACGGTATATTTCCTGCAATATGGAAACAGTCATTTATAATCCCTTTGCATAAAAGTGGATTTAGATCCAAAATTGAAAACTATAGAGGTATCGCAAAACTATCAGTTATACCTAAACTTTTTATTATACGCTGACGACGTAAAGCTTTTTAAATCATACATTTCAACTGAGGAAAGGTGTCTGTTGCAAATAGACTTAAACCATTTGGTTGCATGGTGTGATAGAAATGATTTGCCATTGAATCTCAATAAAAGTGAGACGATGTGCTTTTCCCGTAGATCTGTGCACCCCTCTTCTTATGTAATAAAACACCATATTCTAGAGCAAGTTTTTAACTATGTTGATTTGGGAGTTAATATGGACCCTAAGCTTAATTTCAGTCTTCATATTGATACCATGGTCTTGAAAGCAAAAGCTGTCCTCAGTTTTGTTAAACGTTGGTCTAAAGAATTTAGAGATCCGTATATTACTAAAACACTTTATACAACTTTGGTTAGACCTATATTGGAATATGGCTCTGTGGTATGGAACCCTAGCTACCAAATCCATTCTGACAAGTTAGAGTCGGTTCAAAAACAATTTTTACTTTTCGCCTTAGCGCATTTCCGATGGGATGCTAGGGTAAGTCTACCTCCATACACTAGTCGTTTAAAACTTATTAATCTACCTACACTTTCTAGTCGTAGGGAAATGCTTGGCATAATATTCTTAGTGAAACTTTTGAATGGAACTGTTTGCAGTTCTTTTCTCTTCAAATAAAATTGAATATCCCGGTTCGCCTTTCGAGGCAGTTTAGACCTTTACTGCTAAAATCCTGTAGATCAAATTTTGAACTAAACGAGCCATTCCGCCGTATATGTCATGATTTTAATTCTCATTCCAGCACATTTGACTTATCTGACTCACTTTTCAAAATTAAAAAGACTTTATTGTTTTCTCTTAATAAATGAAAATGTAACAATTTATTATATTGTAACTTGAGATCTTAGCTGTTGAAATTTTTGTTTCTGTAGCTGAGCAGTTTTAGATCTCAACACTTAAAAAACTCTCTTGCCTTTTCTGACTCGGCTAATTCCGCACGTATGCGGATTGCGCCCCTCGCGTCGGTTGGGCGGGAGGAGGGTAATCGTTGGGTTTATATTATTATTATTATTGGATATCACGGATCATTGATTCAGTTTTTTTAGGACAGACAAATCAATTTTGTCCCATTCTTCTACTATTGGTTCGTTTCTAAGTAATTTGGTTTGATGACAACAGCTTATCTTATTGAATTTTTACCCAGCCAACCTCATCTTCGATCTTGAGGATGCGCCACGTCCTGAAGTAGTGTTATAGCCGATGTGAATAAATTATGTCGTTCTGCGATGCAAATCGTCGAAGAAAAACTCGAGAGATTGCTAAAAGAATAGATTTGTCTAACGTGACCGTTCACAAGCACATGAAACATCTAGGATTAATTTCGTAGCTTGACAGATGGGTTTCTAATGTTCTTACAGAACTAAATTTGCTTCGTCGCTTTAACGACTGTAATTGGCTTATCAAACGTTAAAGTGATCTATTTTTGAAGCGAATTGTTTATAGCGACTAAAAATGGGTTGTTTACAAGAATGTAAAGAGATCATGATCTAAAAGGTATGAACCAGATCAAACCACTTGGAAGGCCGATAGTCACCGAAAAAATGCGATGCTGTCTGTTTGGTGAGATTTCAAAGAAATCGTCTATTTTGAGCCTTAGCCCAACAATACCACCATTAATTCTGAAGTCTATTATGCTCAGCTGGATAAATTGAGTGATGCACTCAAACAAAGGCCAGAATCTATCAATACAATAGGTATAGGATAATGCGAGAGCTCATACAAGTTTGATAGCTCGCCAAAACCTTTTGCAGCTTGAATGGGATATAATACCACACCCACCATATTCTCCAGACCTACCACCTTCGGACTATTACTTGTTCCGGTCTCTGTAGAATTTTTTGGATGGAAAACCTTCACCTCAAATAAGGACTTCAAAATTCACTTGAACCAGTGTTACCTCCAAGGATCAAACACTTTATGAGTGTGAAATCAATCTCTTGTCCGAAAGATGGTAAAAGATATTGGATAAAAATGTTAACTAGGTTGATTTAAATATAAATATCTCGGACACGAAACAAAATATAGTAATGAAACTATGTTAGTACATCACCTATAATACAAATTTATAAGGGACCAAATCTCTCTTCTCCTTGGCGTTGGTTTATACCACGTCAATGGCACTCAGAAGAAACATCAAATGGAACCTCACTCCTACAACTCGAGGACGTAGACTTTGCGTAAACCTCAAAGTATTCTCCAATGCGTAAATTGACGCTGTTATCTCAAATCCCCTCGCACAGGGGCACAAGAAAATTCATCAACAAGTGCCTTCAAAGCATCTGCAAAATATTCAGCCCAAGCGCTATGGATACTAACAAATGAAGCAAAAATGCCGACATAAATGGCGTTAAATGAACCACACTCTGAGAAAGACCCTTGGCAGCATTAGAAGGATGCCACTTGACTTGAACCAGCAAGAAAGCAGAAGTTGCATCCGACCCAAAACATCCTAGTGGCATCGTGCAAACTCACACCTGAAACGGCGCAAAGACAACATCCCCAAACAGCATGTGATGGAGAAATGTCAGGCAGTTTACATATTGTCACCACCAACAAGTGCAGCTACGCAGCAAATGCCCCTTTGATAAGCGAATACTGCTACAGCGGTAAGTGTATTTCCTTTCAAAAATTTGTTGAAACGGCTAGCGTCTGTTTCTGCTATGTCTCCTGGTTCGCCGAAGATAAGACTTACGAGATTTTTTAACCTCAGTCTTGCAAGGGCTGGACAGTAGAATAGAAAGAGCCTGGATGTTTCCACCTCACCCTTCTCTATACAACTTTGACAACTTGTGTCCGTCAATATTTTTAGCCTTACCGCATGAATGCCTATTGAAGGATGCCTAATAAGAACCCCTACGATTACGGCAAAATGAACTTTGCTAAGGGCAAGTAGCTCAGAAGATCTCCTGCGTTCTACTCAAGGCAAAAAGGATCTTGCAGTTTCACAAGTGCCAAGAGCACGCGAAGACCATTGGTCCAGTACTAGAGCGCAAGATGCCAATGGAGATCAAACTCGGTCCCATTCCAATGTGAGTGGGGCAAGGGTGCCCGTCTGGCTAACTCGTCGGCTTTGCGGTTGCCAACGATTGCGCTATGTCCAGGTACCCAAACGAGTCTCATGATAAAGTAGCCTATATCAAGTGAGGACAGACACTCTTTTACTAGTTTTGTATGAATGCTCACCTCTTTGAAAGAAGCTGAACTTTTTAGCAGTGAGTCTACCGCCACCTTAATATCAGCCACTTCTGCCTGAAAAGCACCACGTGGTCCGTTACCTTAAAGCTAAGATTGACGAAGAGCTCCTTAAAGATAACTCCACCCCGAACCTTCCCTCATAGCCTTGACCTATATAAGAACAAGCTCACTGCACCTCTTCTCCAGCTCGACTCGTCCCCATCCACATATCTCTCGCCGGTATGTAAGCAGAGAAAAAGCCGCCACGAGTGACCTCTGCGACGCAGTGATCCAAACTTTCAAGAATATAGTTGACGAAGGAAAGAATTTCGGTGTGTTCTTATTCAGATCCTTTGATATGCCCAGCTTCCTTGAGTCTTAGAGCGCACCACGCAGCAATGAACCTGCCGGCGAGGTCCACGGCATTCTACTTCAATTAAGTATTTACATAGAATTTCATTTAAGGATTAATAGTGCTGTCGTGGCAAGGTTTATCTAATTGTTGTCAAACTGTTAAATGACTGTAAATTTTTAGTATAAATAGTATTAAAAAAGCTAAAAATAGTAAAATATAGATGCAATGGCTTTCATGGGATTTGGCTAGGTTGTGAAAAATATAAGAAGTTATTGTGTGGTTTTCTCCATTTATTATTAATTAGCTTACATTTTCAAGAGCATACCTAAAACGTAAGTCAAACAAAATATATAGATTTAAAAACTAAATATGTATATCTATATTAGGCATGTAAAGCAATTCAGCATACAACCCGAATTTCATAAAGACATTCTAGAGTTAAGTAGTAATCATTGTCATGGAAACATCAAAGTTGTAAGAGAAAGCAAATACATTCATTATATTTAGGTTTTAAGATAATGCACATAAATATAGTACACGTTTATTACTGTCTATAATTATTATATACTTGTATGTATTAGATCTTTTGTAGGTAGCCTAATATGCCAGTTATAATTATTAAGCAGTAGGTTTTTATTTCCACAGTTGTTAAAGTGATTTTTTTTTTCGTTCGAGGTTGCCAAATACATAGCAAATTCATTTATTTTCGAATAGGGCAGTGTATAAATCTTTTAGCATCGTTAAATTATTATTGTGCTATTTATATATGTTTGTAAATATAAAGACAAATTAATTCCTTTGTTCGGAGCAATGCTAGTTCACATTATCGCCAAGATATATTTACGTAAAAGCATACTTATATACAAAATGCATATTTTTTTTACATACTATGGATGTGCATCTTGGACATAGGCGTTGTATATTTTTTAAAATACCAAAAATAAGGCGATATTTTTCAAACATTGTTATGTGGTTGCGATTGATGGAGAAAGAGAGCGATTTAATTGATGCTGTTTGTTCGCCTATGTCTCCCAGTTATAAATATACTTATTTGAACTAACATTTCGGTTTATATTTTTAGTTTTCGTTTATTTCTAACACTAGGTACTTAGTTACATTTTTATGGTTTGTTATTCAGTCAACATTAATAGAGAAAGCACTTAAAGTCTCACACTTTTTACCAATAGCCTTTGCTTGATATTGACCCATGTCATCCATAGAGCAATTTTCGATAACAAATGTATAACGATTACCGTCCTTGATGAAGCTGTACTTTGTGCTGTTTTCATTTATTGGCTTGCCATCCTTTAACCATGTAATCTGTAATGGCTCTATTTGGGTTTCGCACACGAAATCACATCTTTCACCTTCGGCAACTGTAACTGAACTTGGAAACTTTGTAAATATGGGTTGTTTGGGTTCTTCGCCAGGTACGAGTACGTTAATAGTGCAAGTGCTAAATGATTCGCCGATATCGTTGAATGCCTCACATGTATACGTTCCGCCATCTTCTGGAAATATTTCAGCTATTTGTAATTTATAAATATTAGCCTCGTTGGTGTATTGGAAGTCTTTGCTTGGTTTGATCTCCTTGTTGTTGTGCAGCCAAACTACGTCGAAATGTTCAGCGCCTATAATACGGCATGCCAATGTTACCATCTCACCATCTTTTACAAAACGTGACTCCAGGTGGCTAACAATTTTTGGTGGTTTGGAACTGCTAGTCTGTCGTTTACTGGCATTTTTATCTAGGGCTGTAATAATAATGATTATATTGAATTTGGATGTCAAAATTAAAAATATTACATCAATATAAATAAGAAATAAGAAAAAATAAAGGTAGCCGTTACCACCCATAATATAAATGAAGAACAAATATGCTTCATTAAAGAATTAGTTGAAAAAGCAAAAAAATGTATGTTCTTCTTAGCAATATAACTATATAAATATAATACACAAATGGTGAAACGTTTGACATTTCCATCGTATTTAGGCTTATCTTAGCATAATGCATTCAACTCTATGTGTCCTACTTACGTTTAACAGTTAATTTGCATTTAGTTTCAACAGCGCTAATAGAATTCGTAGCAGTACACGTAAATATTCCTTCATCTTCTGGGAAAACTTCATGTATAGTAAGCGTTGCTACCCCATTTTTGTATTTTAAGTCCATAATATCTGATGATGAAATAAGTTTGCCGTTTTTAGCCCACGTTATCTGTGGCTCCGGGTCGCCTTTAACATGACAAGTTAGAAGCAACTTATCACCGTCATTTATAGTAAGATCTTGTAGCGACTTCGTGAACTCGGGCTTGCACATAAGTGCATCATCAGGAGGCACTAAGAGTATTTTTAATTTAATATTTATTATATCCAAACGGTATTAATATACTCACAAATTAGCTCTTTGGTAGCGCTGCGTGATCTAGATGGACTTCCTAACGTATTTAAGCTATTGCTGTTATATTTCTTTTTATTGCTGGTACTGGAGGAGTTGGAGGAGCTTGAATTGTGAATGTTGGTCTGAAATATATAACTTATTTGCTATTACGAAATCAAATTGCATCATAATAACGCTTGTAAAAATGGATAGAAAAAGTTTTCGCGGCAGAAAATTTTACGTTCATATGATAACCACAGCTTCCTGGTTATATACATATGTATGTATGTTGTAGGTTACAAGCCTGCAGTTGAAATAAGGTGGAAGCGCTCGTTCGGGTGCACGTTCTTTTTTAATAGCCATAAACTTTTAATAACGAATTACCTTATAAAATAACATAAAACCAAGTGACTAAATTAAAAGTTAAAAGAAATTTTAAAACTTAACAGGAAAAAATATTAACTTCGGTTGCATCGAAACTCTTCACAAATATGAAGGTTCCATACAAAAACTTGATTTTGATCGGTCAGTTTGTATAGCGATTGTACCGTTGCCTCGGACAACAATTCATGTCAAATATTATATAAGAAATCTTGTTAAATAAAAAAGTTTTCCCTACAAGAACTTGTTTCCGATCGTTCAGTTCCCAGTGCAGCTCCTTAAAGAGAAAAGGACGTGTGACGTATATATAGACAGACATACATGGCTAAATCGCGCACACTTGCCACAGACCGGAATTTTAAAGAGATAATCATAACCTCAAAGCATGTGGTAAAATCATAAATAAATCACTAACGTAAAAAAAATTGTTTGAATTAGGTTCATTTCTAATTTATAATCTTTGTCAAGATAACAAAAATTTCTGATTCTTGTTATTATAAACTTATATAAGTATATCTATTGTTTTAAAAAATGTTCAGTAATTTAGTTGAAAATTACCTGGCTGGTGGAAAAGTAATTTGAACTCTGCTGTGTAGTAGAAGAAGAGCCGTTGTATTGATTGGAGTAGGAGCTGGATGTGAATTTACGTATCGTGTTTATGGGTGACGGTGCTGGCTTCAGTGGGTGTTCTATATACTTACGGTCTAGTACCGCAAGTTAAAAGAGATACATTAATGGAAATTTCATAAAAATTCTCGAATTAAAAAAGCAAATAAACCGGGTTTGCATATGTAATACAGATATGAAACGTTCAACTTGTTAAAATTTACCCAAATGACTACATGTCAGCGTACAAATTAGAATATATATATTCATTAGAGAGAATTTTTAATTTTTTTAAAATAAAATTAAGAATATACATAGTTTAAAATTAAGTTTATTGGAAACGCGGCTAGGTTTGTTAAACAGATTGAAATTAATGAATTAGTTAATATTACAAATAATTGTAAAAACATATATCAATCAAATTCTTTATGGAAGATACCCATACAAATGTGTGTATGCATATACAAACACCCTTCCTCACATGAGTAAGTAATAAAATTTACCAATGCAGGAATAGTGTTTTTTATACTCTCGCAACCTGTTGCTACAGAGTATAATAGTTTTGTTCACCTAACGGTTGTTTGTATCACCTAAAACTAATCGAGTTAAATATAGGGTTATATATATAAATGATCAGGATGAAGAGACGAGTTGAAATCTGGGTGACTGTCTGTCCGTCCGTCCGTGCAAGCTCTAACTTGAGTAAAAATTGAGATATCTTTATGAAACTTGGTAGACATGTTTCTTGGTACCTTGAGACGGTATTGCAGATGGGCGTAATCGGACCACTGCCACGCCCACAAAACGCCATTAATCAAAAACAAATAAATTGCCATAACTAAGCTCCGCAATAAGATACAATACTGTTATTTGGTACAAGGGATCACATTAGGGAGGGGCATCTGCAATTAAAGTGCATATCACCTAAGCCGGTAAAGCTATAATAACCAAATTCACTGGCCGATTTCGCCCATTTCGCACTATGAATTTGGTTGAAATCGGTTAAGCAGATCCCAGGATATGGGTTTTCACCTAAAAGTGGGTGGTGCTACGCCCACTGTCTAATTTTGAACGCGGTTCCTATAAAGTCATCTCATACCATCCCAGAGATAAAATTTAATGTCTCTGGCGTGTTTAGTGCTTGATTTATCGCGCTTTTAGTAGTTTTTAACAGTACCGTTATATAGGAAGTGGGCGGGGTTGTCACCCGATTTCACCCATTTTCACACTGTCGATAGAGGTGCTCAAAATATTTATTCTCGGTGAATTTTGTTATTTTTACTGCAGATGCCCCTTTCTAATGTGATCCTGTATGCCAAATAAGAGTCTTTTATCTTGTTTTGCAGCTTAGTTATGGCAATTTATTTGTTTTTGATTAATGGCGTTTTGTAGGCGTGGCAGTGGTCCGATTACGCCCATCTGCAATACCAACCGTCTGCCGGTACCAAGAAACATGTCTACCAAGTTTCACAAAGATATCTCAATTTTTACGCAAGTTAGCGCTTGCACGGACAGACGGACGGACAGACAGTCACCCGGATTTCAACCCGTCTCTTTATCCTGATCATATATATATATATAACCCTATATCTAACTCGATTAGTTTAAGGTGATACAAACAACCGTTAGGTGGACAAAACTATTATCCTCTGTAGCAACAGGTTGCGAGAGTATAAAAATACTAAAAGCGCGATAAACCAAGCACTAAACACGCCAGAGACATTAAATTTTATCTCTGGGATGTTTAAATTAGTCAGTGGGCGTGGCACCGCCCACTTTTAGGTGAAACCCCATATATTAGGATCTGCTTAACCAATTTTAACCAAATTCGGTGCATAACGTTCTTTTCGTATTTTTATCTTATAGTGCGAAAATAGGCGAAAACGGACCACAACCACGCCTATTTCCCATATAACACCATTTTCAATTCCATCTGATTCTTTTACTTTCTACTATGCATATCAAGCTACAATGATTATATCGCGGTAAAACTTTGCGTGAATAATATGTTTAAAGTATGCCACCTTGTGACCAAAAATTGTTTTAATCGAACCAAAACTGTTCAAGCCCCTAGGTACTAAATATGTGGACCCCAGTGCCTATAGTTGACCTTCTACCGAAAATATCAGTCAATCCACAACGAAATCTCAAGCGAATATATTTCACTACGTTTATCATACTGTTTTTATACTCTCGCAACTTGTTGCTACAGAGTATAATAGTTTTGTTCACATAACGGTTGTTATTTTTATGAAACTTGGTACACTTGTTTCTTGGTACCGTAAGACGGTTGGTATTGCAGATGGGCGTAATCGGACAACTGCCACGCCCACAAAACGCCATTAATCAAAAACAAATAAATTGCCATAACTAAGCTGCAAAACAAGATAAAAGACTCCTATTTGGCATACAGGATCACATTAGGGAGGGGCATCTGCAGTTTAAATTTTTAAAGTGGGCGTGGTCCCGCCCCCTAAAAAAGTTTAATGTGCATATCTCCTATACCACTGAAGCTATAATAACAAAATTCACCGAGAATAAATATTTTGAGCACCTCTATCGACAGTGTGAAAATGGGTGAAATCAGCTGACAACCCCGTCCACTTCCCATATAACGGTACTGTTAAAAACTACTAAAAGCGCGATAAATCAAGCACTAAACAAGCCAGAGACATTAAATTTTATCTCTGGGAATATAAGATGATTTTATAGGAACCGCGTTCAAAATTAGATAGTGGGCGTGGCACCGCCCACTTTTAGGTGAAAACCAATATCTTGGGATTTGCTTTACCGATTTCAACAAAATTCGGTACATAATATTCTTCTCATATTTCTATGTTATAGTACGAAAATGGGCGAAATCTGATTACAACCACGGCTATTTCCCATATAACATCATTTTAAATTCCATCTGATTTTTTCACTATTCCAGTATGCAAATCAAGCAATAATGATTATACCTGCGTAAAACTTTGCGTGAATAATACGTTAAAAGTATGCCATCTTGTGACCAAATTATATCTAAATTGAACAAAAACTGTTCAAGCCCATAGGTACTGAATATGTGGACCCCAGTGCCTATAGTTGACTTTTTATCGAAAATATCGGTCAACATAGAACAAGGCGGCAAGATCCACAAAGAAATCTAAAACGAGTATACCATTTGACTTTGCGAGAGTATAAAATGTTCGGCTACATCCGAACTTAGCCCTTCCTTACTTGTTTATTACTGTGGTTTTGTGCTCTCTGAACGTACTGATAATTTACTTGTTAAACTTTGAATTATACCATTGCTGACAGCAATAAAAAAGAGTTTTTTTTAATAATAAGAAATGGAAAGGGCAGTTATAAAGTAGCAATTCATTGCGGATAAAACTGAAAATGTTCATAGTTTTTAATTGCTTGGCAACCGAAATTACTAACCAATCAGTAACAATATCAACAATTGTTATAGTTGTTATTTAATAAATGCTTGCAAAAATAAAAACCAAAATCAATAGTTTTAATAAATGATTAATTGTATTGAAATGTTAAAGTTATATATAAAATTTTTGAAATAATTTACAACATTTTTTATCAGATGATCAAAATAATAATTTGATTATAAAAGCTCCTAACTGCTGTTAATAAGTACACAATAATTCATTCTAAACATTTTCACAACATACCCTATGAAGTTTAGCATTTAATACTTATTTCTAAATTGAGCGTTGAGGGACTTTTCTTTTAAAACTCCCAAACATATGACGCTAAATCATTGTTATACAGAGAAATTTGTTATCTTATTGGAAATTTAAGTAGAAAAGATATATCTTATCAACAGTCTAAGCATTATCATAACATACCTAATTAATTTTACATTTAACACTCAATTTAGATAGAGCAGTGAGAGAATTTTCTTTTAAAACTCATAAACATATGACGCTAAATCTATGTTATACATTTCTTATCTTTTTAAAAATTTGAGTAGAAAAGGTATATCTAATCAACAGTCTTTCTTAGAAAATAAGATTAAATCGTGACTTCGAAAAAAAGGGCTTCGAAATATTTTGTAATTCATAATTCAATTGTGTAATTGAGTGTCAAAATCGGTGGATCCACCACTATTCTACAGTACCATTTTATCCAATTCTTGGAAATATCAAAGGAACAAACATTACTGTCATTAAATTTGGGAACCAAGTGATTTTTTTTGTGAAATATCTATAAGAATAAAAAAATGTATTTGTACTGGACTAGCCAATTTCAATGTAAAAGGAATGGGGGCTCCCCCCTTTCCACGACTTATTGGGGCAAAAACTTTAATTTTAACGTTATTTCATCATTGAAATGGGTAATGTGTGTTGAAATTTCTTGAGTTGGTAATAGCACCTTTGATATTTTTGTAAAGTTTGAGCGAGTTGTGATAATTAGAATAGGTGTTTGTTGCAATCTTTGTTTTAATATTCTTGCCAAATTTAATGAGATAGTATTTCGAAAAATTAGTGACTCTAACAGATAAAAAGGCTGCTATTTAGAAAAAAAACTCCGGGATACTCCTCTATCATCTCATACTCTCCGTAACGCCGAATTAAGGGGTTTCTATTTAAAGTTTACCTAGATAAAATGAGGTATTTAGCCGCAGTGTGTGGATATTAAAAGTCAAAATATGTGATGTGTAAAATTTTGAAAGAAATTGACTGTAATGTAGTAACATTTGAAGTTGATTAATTAAATGAAATATAATATGTATTACTTCTGCAACAATTTTTTAAGTTGTCGATATTTCCCTTGGAAGATATACTCGCTCTAGGTATTACTACCCGAAAAAAATGGCTTATTCGTTAAAATAAATCACATGCATAAACGAAACTTCATATACAGTTGATAGACTAAAAATAGGCGAGTGTTTATTTGTATCGGGATGAACCAAAATTTTGAGAGTGGTTTTTTAATTAAAGAAATCATTTGGGTTATTAACAATGAAAATAAAAGGGAATTAAAATACAAAAGAAAAAAACCGAGTTTCAACAAAAGTTTTTGCATAAACGAATAACAAGTTTTATATTATATATTACCTCCAGAATGTAGTAAATTGTGAGCAAGTTCTGCCTGCTCAGGTGTTACCCATTCTCCTATAAAAAAAGTCGAATTAATATTTCTTACAAAGTTTAAAATAACTAATTAAATAATATTATGTTTAAATGTAATTATCAAAACTCGAAAGAAAATATTTCGACATTGGACGCTAATTTCGAAAAACGGATGAATTACTTTTTTTTTAAATATGACTCAATCTCTTGATCCGGTACAATACCCAGGCGAGTGTTGTACAGTGTTATTGTAGAAATACGACAATTATGGTTTATTAGATTTATATTTTTAATTATAATAATGATTTAACTTAATACATACCCTCAACTATTACTACACATTCGGTTTCATCGGTACCATGACAGTTGGTGGCCTTGCAAGTATATTTGCCAGAATCTGAAGGTTTGCAGTCAATGATTTCCATTGTTACAACGCCATCGGAAGCCGACATTGAGTACTCATATTTGCTTAGCTCCCTTCCATCCTTATACCATTTAACAGTAGGTACGGGTTTGCCGCTGAGACAACATAATAGTTTACATGTATCACGTGCTTGCATAACACGAGGTCGTAAGAGGAATGTAAAGCTGGGTGCCGATTCTGATTCTTCTTGCCAGAAAGTATATGGTAACGGATCACGTCGACGCACTGGCGTTGATTCACTGCGATAACGCGGTTGTTCCTTCGGCAGTGGATGTACGTTCAAAAATACTACTTCCTCGCGCGAGCCATAGTGATTTTCTGCACGAATAATATATTCGCCTCTGTCATCCAGCCTAACACGATTTATAATAAAGTAGTAATCATCACCGGCATAACGTTTCATAAATTTAACACTTTGCCGGAGTTCGACATTATTGTGAGACCATGTTAAAGTCGGAGTAGCACCAGCTATACAACGACAATAGAATTTAACGCTTTGACCTTCATAGCAAAATTGTGATGACGGTCGGATGACGAATCGTGGTGCTGCTTGTCGACGATCAAAGGAAGTTTCGTGCATTTTATATTTTTCCATAAGTAACTTACGCAATGAAGAATATTCAGATAAACGTCCAATTGGCAGTAAATATTTATTGAAATCTTCATATTTTTTCCGAAGTTTATCACGGAATGCAAGGTAGCGATCACGCGATATTTGCTCAGAACGATCACCATGATCACCGCTTAGCCATGGATGCAATAGGCACTCATGTGCAGTCATACGTTTTTCCTTATTTGCAAGAAGGAGTTTCCTAATAAAGTCCTTAGCTTCTTCAGATATATGGCGGAAAGCATCTGCATCAAAGTCCCAGTCACAGGCTTTAACATTCTTTAAAGTTTGGATATCATTATCGCCAGCAAATGGTGACAATCCACTTAACCTGAAAGACGAAATAAATTATAAATCGAAAAACGCTCAATAATAGCAATGAATAACGGTAAAAAATATAAAATACTTACAGCACATAGGCAAGTACTCCAGTGGCCCACATATCTGTATAGAAACCTACTGGCTCGCGATTAACAATTTCTGGTGCGGCAAATTCAGCTGTGCCAGTTGTTATTTTGACGACTTCATTTGGATCCAAACGAGTAGCCAAACCGAAGTCAATCAGTTTTACATTCCTACTAGAGCGAGTATGACACATGATATTTTCTGGTTTAATGTCTAAATGAATAATATTCTTTTCGTGCATGTGGCGTATTCCTTCGCAAATCTGGCGCATGTAATTTATTACTTCCGCTTCAGTCATACGGTAACCCTCAGTTGTTATACGCTCAAATAATTCACCTCCTGATAAACTAAAATCAATTAAACGTATTTAAGTATATCATTACATTTAATTACTAGAGCAGGTATTAGTGTACTAAGTTTTCAATTTCCACTTTTTACCTCTATCACTTATCACTTATTTTTATTAAGGTACCACCAAATATATAGTAAATTCTACCAAAGATACCTAGATGATTATGTTGGAGTCCAAGAAACATGAACAATGTGCGTTCCAAAGTAAACAGCAAAAAAGTAACAAAGTAAACTCTAGTGGCGCCATCTATATGTCGACCAGTGCGTTAGAATCTCCTATCCTTTATCGACTTCCAATAAAAATTTAATGACATTTCATCTATTGGAAGTGCAGTTATTGCGTTTTAAGTGTCAGTATGTTTTTGTCATTGGTGCGAAAATAAGCTTCGAACAAAGAGCCAACATTAAATTTTGTTTTAAAATTGGTAAAACTTTTACCGAAACGTTTCAATTGCTGAAACAAGTTTATGGCGATGATTGCCTATCCCGTAGCAGAGTGCACGAGTGGTTTCAACGTTTTCAAAGTGGTCGTGAAGACATAAATGAGAAATGAGCCGAAACCCAAAAAATCGCGCCTGGAGAAGTCAAAAGTGAGGACAATGCTGATTTGTTTTTATGATTCCAACGGTATTGTCCACAAAGAATTTGTTCCACCCGGCCAAAATGTTAGTGCGGTATTCTACCTTGGAGTTTTGAAGCGTTTGGTGCGCCGTATTCAGGCAACGAGCCAAAACACTCGTTCGACATGCTTTTGGACCGTGATAAGCTGTATTAAAGCAGAAGGAGACTATTTTGAATAAAATTAATTGATTTTGCCGATAAAACCATTTGTTCTTTTTTTTTTTAAAGTCCTGTTTACTTTGGAACGCACCTTGTAGACCATTTGTTTTATTTTTATAACACTTTTATTAGCTTCACCTGTATGTTTGTATGTATGTATTGTATATATATGTGTTTGTATGTTTGTAACTTTTTCAGTGGCACTGGAACTGAATAGTACTGACAAAAGAATCTACAATTTAATAGGCACTGGAAAAATACAAAACAAAAATTGCCTAAAACTATGCAGCTAAAGGCTTCAACTATCCATCCTGAAAAAAAATGCCCATAAAACTATTCAGCTAAAAGCATCAACTTCTATGCTGTCATTTGAATAACAAATTTACTCAAACCCATCCTTAAACAAGTAAGGAAGGGATAAGTTCGGATGTAACCGAACATGTTATACTCTCGCAAAGTCAAATGGTATACTCGTTTGAAATTTCTTTGTGGATTGGCTGATATTTTCGGTAGAAGGTCAACTATAGGCACTGGGGTCCACATATTTAGTACTTAGGGGCTTGAACAGTTTTGGTTCGATTTAGACAATTTTTGGCCACAAGGCATACTTTAAACGTATTATTCACGCAAAGTTTTACCCCGATATAATCATTGTTGCTTGATATGCATAGTGGAAAGAGAAAGAATCAGATGGAATTTAAAATGGTGTTATATGGGAAGTAGGCGTGGTTGTAGTCCGATTTCGCCCATTTTCGCACTATAACATAGGAAAATAACGTTATGTACCGAATTTTGTTAAAATTGGTTAAGCAGATCTCAAGATATGGGTTTTCACCTAAAAGTGGGCTGTGCCACGCTCCCTGTCTAATTTTGAACGCGGTTCCTATAAAGTCATCTCATACCATCCCAGAGATAAAATTTAATGTCTCTGGCGTGTTTAGTGCTTGATTTATAGCGCTTTTAGTAGTTTTTAACAGTACCGTTATATGGGGAGTGGGCGGAGTTGCCACCCGATTTCAACTATTTTCACACCGTCAACAGAAGTGCTAAAAAAATTTGCTTCCAGTGAATTTTGTTATTATAGCGTTAGCGGTTTAGGAGATATGCACATTAAACCTATTAGAGGCGGGACCACTTTTTAAAAAAAAATTTTAACTGCAGATGCCCCTCCCAAATGTGATCCTGTGTACCAAATAACAGTCTTGTATCTTATTGCGGAGCTTAGTTATGGCAATTTATTTGCTTTTGATTAATGGCGTTTTGTGCGCGTAGCAGTGGTCCGATTACCCCCATCTGCAATATTCACCCTTTCACGGTACAAAGAAACATGTCTACCAAGTTTCATAAAGATATCTCAATTTTTACTCAAGTTACAGCTTGCACGGACGGACAGACGGACGGACGGACAGACAGTCACCCGGATTTCAACTCGTCACTTCATCCTGATCATTAATATATATATAACCCTATATCTAACTCGATTAGTTTTAGGTGATACAAACAACCGTTAGGTGAACAAAACTATTATACTCTGTTGCAACAGTTTGCGAGGGTATAAAAAAATAAAAACACAACGTGTGACTAAATAATAAATATGGTTTAAAAACCCAAAAACATGCTATTAGTGATGGTTTGTGCCATTTTCGTATCGAGCATTCCACACTTTTTTCGGTCAATATTACTGTCAGTTTATATTAAGAATTATTTTTGACTGTTTAGTTTAAAGTGATTGAAAAGCGTTTTTTTTTATGTTTTTTAACATACATATGTATATTTGTTGTTACTAAACCACATTGTGTCTACCATAAAATCACATTTTCATTTAATGCTACTAACACAAAATCTTACATACATATTAATCAATATAATCGTTATAACGTCAAACTGAGCGGCGGAAATCATTGCTTGCTTCAACTTTTGAAAGAGAAAATATTTCTAAGCAAGTTGACCCTCACACATTGAACAATTTATTAGATTAGCGAAAATTATTATATATTAATATATGATACAAATAAATGGAATAAGATATAAATTGACCGATATTTTCAGTATAAAGTTAGACATAGGCACTGGGGTCCTCATATACGGTATCCGGCGGTTTTTTAGATGAGAGATTTCACACTGCTATTTGTTAAGTTTTGTTTTGACATCTTTGTTGGTGCCTGATTTATACGATTATATTGTCAAGTTAAAACATCAGGTGGAATGAAAATTATGGAATGTGTGATATAAGCAAGTAGAAAAAAATGTAAGGAACAAAAAATTTGTTCCCACAGATTTCTACTCACTGTGATCCTTAACACTAAACTGCAGTTATGTACCTTCATTTGTGGAATACGTTCGTTTTCCGAAATGAATTCGTTTATTGAGAGTATGTGATAAATTTGAGGTTATGTGATAAATTGAAAATATATGAGCACGCGCTTAAAAAAATTATTTCTAGTTTTTAAAAATGTATAAAGTTATATCATAACTAGTGCCTCATACATAAGAAGTCTTAGGTACTCCTTTTGCTTTACTAAAATATAATGATTTGCTGTTCATGCAAGTATAAATTATGTACATACATATATGCCTTACGCAAAGTTATATGTGTTAATATAACTCCTCAATAAATTATGTACTCACAATTCTAAAATAAGCACCATCTCATCGTCATCTTCAAATGCATCGTGCAGGTTGATTAATTTCTGATGATGCAATTGATTCATAACATCAATTTCCCGTCGTATTAAATCCTTTTCTACCGCATGTGATACAGGAATAAACTTTGCGGCAAATATGTTACCTGTACTACGTTCGCGACATCTATGTACGACTCCAAATGCGCCAGCGCCAATTTCTTCTAATATATCATATTTATCATAGACGCTGTCATGTGAAATTTCGACCGGTTGTGGTACGAATTTTGAGTATAAGTCAAAGACATATGAGTCGTAATCTTTAATTGGTCCGTCCGCTTTGCCTCGAACTTTTCTACCATGCTCATCAATCTCATATCGTTTTTTGGCTGGCTTCTTTTTAATAATATCTCTTGTTTTAATTAAAGTGCTGATTTCAGATGGATCTGAGCGACCATAAACATTGTCAGCATAAATACGGAACTCATATTCCTTTCCTGGTGTTAAGCCAGTTATAGCTATTGATGTGAGTCGGGTATTTCCGACACGAATCCATGATGACATTGGGTGTTCTCGTTTCTCTACTAGGTAACTTGTTATTTGGCTACCGCCATCCCAAACTGGGGCCCTCCAGCTCAAGGACAGTGATTCGGTACTGATGTTTTCAACTAATGGGAACCGGGGAGGATCTGGGCGATCACTTATTTGGATTCTAATTGTGGCTGCATCGGAGCCAAGATCATTTTCTGCAGTTATGACATACGGACCAGAGTCCAATTTTGACCCGTCTCGTATAATCAATACTGCATGCCGCTCCTTTGTTTCCACTGTATAATGTCCGCCCGATTCAATAGTTTCACCTTCACGTATCCAAGTAATTCTAGGCTTTCTATAACCGGTAAATGGTATTTTAATAACAACATTTTCACCCTTGTCGAAGTATGCAGTATCTCGGAACCGAGGAGGAACATTCAGTTTCGGAGCAGCTTAATGAATAAAAATTTTTTCAATTATGATATAATAATAAGGAAGCACGTAATAGTTAGCTTCTCGCATATTAACAATGAGAAGTAATATTATTTTGACATAGTATGTATATAAAAGTTTGCGCTTTAAAAAATTAATTCATAAATAAGTAATAACTTACTCATAATAGCTAATGCAGCGCGTGTTGATTTAGCTCCAGCCTTATTGACAGCACGGCAAACATATTCGTCTGCGTCTTCACCAAAGACATCTGCGATATTGAGGAAATAGTTGTCGCCTTCTGCATACATATGATGGCGTGCACCATTAGTAATTTCCCGTGCTCCCTTGTACCATGTTATAACTGGACGTGGTAGGCCAGTAATTGTGCAGGTAAATTGAGCATTGTGATTTTGTATGCACGTAGCATCACCGAGTGGTTTAACAATAATTGGTGGAGTAGCTGCCTGTGGATCTATTACTTTAATTGCGGTTGAATTAGAAGATTCTTTCGACAATCCAGCTTCATTTTGTGCGAAAACACGAAATTCGTAATGACGACCTTCAATTAGATTTGAGCAGTTTATTTGATTGGTAAGGCAAATGGTAACGTTGACACGTTGCCATGTGTTGCTACCAACTTCGCGTTTGTCAACCCAATAGCCTTGTATATGAGCACCACCATCCGTCTCCGGCTTCGTCCATTCTAAATGCACAAAATCACCACCTACTTCTGATATGGTTGGCTTCCCTGGTGGCGATGGTGGGTCAATGGGTGCTTTTGCTCGAACAGGATTCAAACCCTCTAATGGCGGTCCCAAACCATTATCATTAACTGCCATAACACGGAAGATGTAGTCTTGATTTTCAATTAGTCCCTGAACGTTAAAAGATAAGTCTTTGCAAAAACTGGAAACAGTAATCCAGTGTGGTGAAGTCACATCCTTACGTTCAACTACATAGTGTGTTATACGTAGACCTCCATTGTAGGATGGTGGACGCCATGATAACGTGCAAGAATGTTTATTGATGTGAGACACACCCATTGGACCGACGGGAGCAGAAGGTAATCCAGTAATACGTACATCAAATTGACTTGTGGCAGTACCTGATTCATTTTCTAATTTAATTTGATAAAGTCCAGCATCAGTTTTTACAATATCTCGAATAAAGATTGTAAGATAATCATCGAATACGGTACATTTGATGTGTGGTTCATCTTTTTCCGAAATTGTCTCATTGTTTCTGCTTAGACTGATATTCATTGGCTGATCACCATTATAATAAATCTTAATTTTCGTATTATCACCTTCAGTGAGCTGCAGTTCATTGGGACAACGTGTGATAACTGGTGGGGAACCTATCTTTAAATGTCCAGTTGTATGTACGAAACCAAGAGAATTGAATGCTTCGCAGGTGTAGTCACCATCATCGCCGGATTGTATATTAGAAATGTGTAAACGGAATATACCATCTTTACTTTCAGATACAATTCGTCCCCCTCCTATTTGAATTTCCTTACCATTTCGTAACCATCTGGCATTAGGTAGAGGCTTTCCTGTGGCCTCGCATTCTAATATGAAATCTTTACCACATGGTGCAATACGATCTTGTAGACGAGTAACCCATTCTGGTTTTACACCACCAATCACTTCGCATACCTTAATGGGCATAGTACAAGAGCTCGGTTCGGAACGCCCAGCCGCATTCACTGCGAAAATTCGGAATTCATAATCACCCATTTCAATTAAATTAAGTACTGTATATTCAGTGTCCATAACATTGTAGTCGTTGCATTTCACCCAAACTGCACCGCCAATATCGCGACGTTCAACAATATATCCTGTAATACGCGAACCACCGTCGCTAGTAGGTCTTTCCCATTTGAGATCAACATAGTTTTTACCGACCTTCGTAACCTGAGGTGTGCCTGGAGGCGGAGGCACTGTAAATCTGCCTTTTAGTTTAAATTTGGTAGAGGGTGGTGATGGCTTACTAAAACCAGCGGCATTCTTGACCTTTATACGGAATTCATATTCGCAGCCATTTGTGAGATTATAAAGTTGATATTTTGTATCTTTAATTAAATATTCATAAGTATTCCATGATGACTCATTGACAACATCCCGGTATTCAATTTGATAACCCTGAATACGTGAACCACCGTCACTAGATGGACGAGCCCATATAAGCGTAACATTGCCAGAGTCCCAATCAATTACTTTCGGCTGACCTGGTGCATCTGGCACTGTGAATTGATATTTTGCCACCACTGGATCGTCTAATTCCAGAGGATCAGAGAGTCCATATTGATTTTCAGCTCGTACACGGAAATGGTATTTACGATTTGGTTCCAAGCCCATAACATCGTAATGAGTATTACGAATAAAACTACTAACTTTTGTCCAAGTTCCACTATTATCCAGCTTTTCGACAACGTAATTGGTTATAGGGGATCCACCATCATCTAATGGAGTCTTCCAGGCCAATGTACAAGTGTCTGGCGTTATATCAAAAACTGATAACGGTCCTTGTGGTGAACTAGGTCTATCTACTACTGTGACATGGCAAGATGCTGTATCAGAACCGTTACTATTAGTCAGGGTAATAGAATACGAACCAGTCTCTAAACGTCTAGCGGATTTGTTACAATAAACGGAACTGTAATCAGATGTAGTAAAACGTATTCGGTCATCTTGGATGACATCTTGGCCATTTATTTTCCATGTAGGTGTAGCACGTGGATTCGCGGTGTATGGTACAGTTATGCTGAATTCTTCACCAGCGATAACTGTCATATCTCTAATCGACAAATCTGACGTTATCTTTGGTGCATGTGGTGGCCGACGACAATAGATAGGGTCACTAGAAGCGCTGTATGACGATTGTCCAGCTGCATTAACGGCAGCAATGCGGAATTCATACTCTCCATTCTCAATGAGATTTGGTATTCTGCAAGTTAAATCTGGGCAATGTGCGTGTATTGCTTTAGTCCATTGCTCATCGCTTATTAAACGTTTTTCAATAATATAGCCAGTAATAGGCGAACCGCCATCGTGTTTTGGTTTTGCCCAAGTTATTGTAATACTATCTTCACTTGAGTCAATGCTTCGGGGTATGCCAGGTGCATTCGGCACATCAAATGGATGACGAGCCCGAACGGGTTCTGAGGTTGTAGCCGGGTTAGATATACCATATTTATTTTCGGCGTAAGCCCGAAAGTCATAGTCTTTACCTAGAGTCAAATTGCGTATGCGTAAAAATGGTACAGTGCAGTAACTATTTACTTTCGCCCATGTGTTTGACGATTTTTCTTTCCTTTCAATAATATAATTGGTGATGGGAGAGCCACCATCATCTTTAGGTGGTGTCCAATAAAGTGTAAACGCATCGCCTGCAAATTCATCTGCACATAGATTTGTTGGAGGTTGTGGCCGATCTAATACTTTTACATTAATTGTAGCCGTATCAAAACCTGAAGGATTTTTCAATTGTAATCTATATTGTCCGGAATCAAACCGTTTGGAGTTTTTAACAACGAATGATGCAGCATCGTCGGTCAAGTGGTGGAATATTCGGCGCCCATCATCTTCTATAAGTATGTCGTTTGAGTACCAATGTGCGGTGGGTTTAGGGAAGCCAACGTAAGGAACGTGAATACAGAAATCGTCACCAGCTCGACAAACAATGTCACGTACACGTCCAAGATCCATACGTGGTTTATTTGGTTGCTCTTCAATAGCAATTAGCTGGGATGGCTTGGATGGGTCGGAACATCCGACATCATTTTCAGCAAATACACGGAATGAGTATGAGTTTCCTTCCTTTAAATTAGGTACATGATAAACTGTTTCACTGATTGGAAGTTCATTGACCGGCAACCAGTTCTTTGAATCCTTAGTTCGTACTTGTAGGTAGTAGCCTTTGATTTTCGATTTACCATCGAATCGTGGTGGCCTCCATGAAAGAGTGACACCATCTTTTGTGATGCGATCTGCTTTTGGTGGCTCAGGGGCGTCAGGTTTATAGCGTTGTAGTTGAGCAGTCATTGGTTCAGTTGGTTTCGACGGCTTTCCAGGACCAGCTTCATTTACAGCTGTGACTCGGAACTCGTAACGATTACCTTCACGTAAGTCTTGTACTGTATAACTAGTATTTGGTGTGGGGTAATTGTTACATTTAAGCCATTCGCCTCCTCGTTCTCTTCTTTCTACAATATATCCAGTGATTGGCTTACCGCCACAAGAATCCGGTGGCTGCCATTCCAAGCTTGCGGAACTTGGAGAGTAGGCTGCGACGTACAGATTGTTGGGTGCATCTGGCGGATCGAACGGAGATTTTGCTACAACAGGTTTGCCCTCTAATGGCTCAGAAATTCCATAAATATTTTCTGCCATGACACGGAAAACATATTTTCTACCTTCAATCAAATTTTTAACCGTGTAATTGGTTCTTGGACAATAACCAGGTACTGGACGCCAATTGTCTACGCCGAATTCACTTAATTCAATAGTATACCCAGTAATTTCACTGCCGCCATTATCTTCCGGTGGATTCCATTCTAAACTTATGTGGTCTGGAGCGATTTCCAAGTAATTGAGTGGCCCTTTAGGTGGACTTGGTTTGTCAACGACGATAATTACAATTTCTGCAGAATTCTTTCCGAATTCATTTTCAGCAGTCACTGTATACACACCAGAATCTTGCCTGGTGGAATCGTCAATTCGTAAGATAGTACGTTCTGAGTTAGTATTATAAGAAATTTTGTTTGTTTCCTGCACTGTAAGGTTACTGCGTTTCCATTCGATTGTTGGGGTAGGTGAACCTGATATGGGTATATTAAGGTTAACCGGTTCCCCAGCTCGGATTTTAATCTTTCGACTAACAAGGTCACCGAGATGTAATCTTGGTTTTTCACGCATTGGTCGCGCGCTAAATGTATTTGAGGGTTCCGATGGCTTTCCACTGCCTGCTGCATTTACAGCCGATACACGATATTGATATTTGTGATCAGGGCTTACCCGTTCATCAGTATATTCAGTATTAGGTACTGGCTCAGCATTAATACGAACCCAACGACCAGTTGTTAAATCGCGACGTTCAATGTCATAACCCAAAATAGTTGATCCACCGTTACTAATTGGTGGCTTCCACTTGAAAGTGATATGAGTTTTTTCACTGTCGGTAAGTTCTGGCTTACTTGGTATGCCAGGCACTGTATATTGATTTTTGGCTATTACAGGTCCATCACTATTTAAGGGATCTGAACGCCCTTGTAAGTTTTCAGCCAATACTCGGAACTCATATTTGGTGCCCTCAAGCAGACGAGGTACAACAGCGTGATTATATTTTGCATTGACATAATTCAAAGCGGGCACCCAACCGCCTCCATGAGTAAGATCGCGTTTTTCAATGATATATGATGAAATTTCTGAACCCCCATTATCAACTGGTGGTTTCCATGATATAGTTACTGAATTTGCACTAACCTCTTCATATTCCAACGGACCTATTGGTGGCCCTGGTCGATCCAAAACCACTAACTGAAAGCTTCCTTCATCGATTCCCGAGTCATTCCGAATTAGTAAGTGGTATATACCTGAGTTGTTACCTTGACAATTAACAATATGCACAACAGTGTGATGACCAACAGAGGTAATTGTTGAGCGCTCATTTGAGGTTAAGGGAATATTGTTTTGATTCCAAATAACTTCTGGTATAGGTTCTCCAATAAAATCGATATCAATGTGGAATATAAGACCAGCTTTTATTCTAATATCTTGTAGTGGGGTTATGATCTTGGGTGCGAGATAACGAGCTTTTACCATAACAAGATCTGATGATTCTGAGGGTTCTGACTGTCCTGCTTTATTAACTGCTATAACACGGAATTCATATTCCTGTCTTTCTGTCAAATCAGGTACAGAGACAAATGTCTTGTCTGGTGGCACATGCTGTGTGTTTACCCAGTAAGGGCTACCTTTCTCTTTCTTTTGAATAATATACTCTGTTAGCGATGCACCTCCATCTGACTGCGGTGGTGTCCATTGCAGGTCAACGTGATTGCAATCCCAATCTGTAACCAGGGGTCGTCCAGGAGCATCCGGTTCATCGAATTCGTTTTTGGCTATAATACTCTGCGGAATTTCCAAATGATCTGAATCGCCGATGGCATTAACTGCTTTTACGCGAAATATATATTCCTTGCGATGTGTTAAGCGTATTACATCATGTACTGGATGTGTACTCATACCGGCATCTGACCATGTACCACGCGAAAGGTCCATTTTCTCAATAACATAATGTAAAATTGGTGATCCGCCATCATCTTTTGGTACACCCCATGACAGGTGGCAACCTTCTTTAGTTATATTTGTTGCATACAGGGGACCAATCGGTGGACTGGGACGATCTAAAACAGTTGCATGAGCGGATGCTTCAAACATTCCGTGCTCATTTTTCAGTGATAAAGTGTAAATACCTTCATCTGTTCTTAGAGCAGAAGAAATTTCAAATGTTAAGTCATTTTGGAATAGGCTCATATCGAGACCTGGCTTTGGCTGAATTTCAACACCATTAAATGACCATTTTACAGTTGGCCTTGGGGAAGCTTCAATGGGCAGTGACCAACCCAGGCGTTTGCCTGCATGAACAGTAATATCTTCCAAAAGCGATTTGTCAAAGTATGGTGCCAAAAAACGGGGTTTGCATGTTACTAATGTTGATGGATCGGATGGGTCGCTACGACCTGCTTTATTTACAGCAATTACACGGAATTCGTATTCACCTTTTTCGGACAGGTCAGGTATTAAAGCTTTAGTTTCACTGAATGGTATATCTACTGCCTTTTCCCATTGTCCGAATTTTGGCCGTTTTTCAACAATGTACCCCGTAATCGGAGAACCGCCATTACGTTTTGGAGCAGACCATTTAAGCTCAACAAAATCTTTACCCCAATCCACTGGCTGTGGTTGTCCCGGTTTATCAGGACGTGAAAATGGATCTTTCGCTGTAAAAGACTGTGTAGTTGCCAGCGGCAAAGACTCGCCTTGTTTATTTACAGCGCGCACGCGGAAATTATAATCGTGTTCCTCAATTAAATTATCCGCACGGATTTGATTATCCGTGGTTTCACCTACTGGTATCCAACGCAATGTTGCAGCATCCATTTTTTCTACAACGTAATGGCTAATTTCAGAACCACCGTCATCTTTGGGAGGTCGCCAGCTTAGCGTTATCGAATTTTTGGTAACATCTTGTGGACGCAATGGACCTTCGGGTGGTGAAGGGACATCCAATACTGTTACTTTAGCTGTTGCTCGATCGGTACCATTAATATTGCGAGCAGTTAGTGTGTAAATGCCAGTATCGACACGCTTCGAGTCAACAACCCGAATCTTCGTTCGATATTCTTCATTAATAATTTTTACACGATCACTATTGACAACCACGTTTCCCTCGTGTAACCATTCTTTACTAGGCACAGGCTCTCCTGTTATCGGTACATCAAATTCAAATGCTTGTCCGGCACGTACTTTAATGTCTAACATGTGATTACGGTCAATTTTAGGAGGGACATTTTTGTTTCTTGCAAGATGTGGCGCTGTTGGGTCACTAGGTTCACCTTTGCCTGCTTTATTGATTGCACGAATGCGGAATTCATATTTAACACCATCAGTCAGATTGGGCACAAGACCATTACAAACGTCATCTGATATTAAAGCGGCTTCTTCCCAATCGGGTGAATACTTATCGCGCTTCTCAATAACATATCCTGATATTGATGTTCCTCCATCACTTTCCGGCCTTGCCCATTCCAAATCAACAAAGTCCTTATCATAGTCCTTAATGATAGGTTTACCTGGTTTAGATGGTTCATCGTAGGGATTCTTCGCTTCTGTAGAGTGTGGTGTAGTAAGAGGTTCTGAAACTCCCTGTCGGTTTTTGGCACGAACCCGGAACTTATATTTATGTCCCGGTGTCAAACCCGATATGTCAAATTTAGTTTCTGGTCCATCGGTTTCTCCACCAGGTACCCAACGACCTGTGTTTTCGTCAAGCTTTTCAATAACGTAAGAGTCAATTCGTTGACCGCCATCATCATCTGGTGGATTCCAATTAAGTGTACAACCTCTGGCGTGAACATTGTTGACTTGCAGAGGGCCATTCGGTGCAGACGGCTTATCGATTACGATAACCTTAACTTCTGCAGAATCTTCCCCAGAAGCGTTTTCTGCATGTATTGTGTATATACCAGACTCTGCACGAGTTGCATTGGAAACTTTTAATTTGCTGCTGTAGTCAATGTGTGTTACTTTAACATTGTCTTTTGAAGTTACCTCACGTTTTTTATGCCACCACTTAGTTTGTGGCGCAGGTTCGCCTGATATTTTCACATCAAATGTGAACGGTTGACCAGCTTTTAGGCGTACTTCATTTAGGTTTGTACGATCAATTAGAGGTGCCTTGTTACGGGGTTTTGCTATAATTGGTGTAGTGGCATCAGATGGTTCACCAATGCCTCCTGCGTTTATAGCAGATACACGGAACTCATAGGCTTGTCCCTCAATTAAGTCAGGTACAGATGCTTTGCATTGATCGAACGGAACCTCAAGTGCTTTCTCCCATTGCCCATATTTATCTTTCTTTTCAATGATATACCCTGTAATCGGAGAGCCTCCATCATTTAGCGGTGGAACCCAAGCTAAATCAATATGATCCTTATCCCAGTCAGTGGTGCGGAGATGTTGTGGCTTTCCCGGTTCGTCGAAAGGATTTTTGGCTATTATGGACTCATCGGATATTAGTGGGGCTGATTCACCTTCAGCATTTACAGCCGAAACACGAAATTTGTATTCGCCGCCTGGTTCCAGTCCAGTAACATCTGCTTGCGGCTCATTAGAACGGCAAACTGGTATCCAACAACCAGTTTTTGGATCAAGCTTGTCAACCTGAAAATATTCAATGGGTGTGCCACCATCATCAGCTGGACGCTTCCATTTGAGATGGCAACCTTCCTTGTGAACTTCAGAAATTTGCAATGGACCCTTTGGTGAACTAGGTTTGTCTGTTATAACGACGCTTATTACAACACTATCTTTGCCGGAGTGGTTGGTGGCTTTTACAACGTATTCGCCAGAATCTCCTCGTGTTGTTGGCCTAAGGACAATTTTTGTATAATAAACCGGATTCTCAATTGTAACAGTATTGCCGGATTGCAAAGGACAGTTGTTAACGCGCCATTCAACTTTAGGTGCTGGTTCACCGGTAATAACAGCGTCGAATTTCAGTGGGGCACCAGCAGAAATGGTAACGTCACGTAAATTACGTCGATCAATTTTCGGAGCAAGAAAACGAGGCTTAGCAATGAACGTTTTACTAGAGTCGGAAGCTTCCGAAGGTCCTGCTTTATTTACCGCCATAACTCTAAATTGATACTCATTGCCTTCAACTAATCCATGAATGATGGCTGTAGGTTTAGGATCACTTGTTTCCAAAGCTTTTTCCCATATTGGACTATATTTATCTTTCATTTCGATAATGTATCCGGTTATTGGAGAACCACCATCAGAAGCTGGTTCTTGCCAAACTAGTTCAACCTTGTTTGCTGTCCAATCTCTTGGCTCCGGTGCACTAGGCTGTGATGGTATTACTAGAAAAAATAAATATTAATAAACTCGTACGTAATATAGAAATAAATGGATATTTTAAGGTTGAAAGAAAATCTCACCAAAAGGATCCTTCGCAATGATAGATCCAAATGTTTCTAATGGCTCTGACTCGCCTTCCTTGTTCAAAGCTTTAACTCGGAATTTATACTCATGCCCAGGAATCAAACCATCAACCTCAAATTCAGGTCCTTCAGCTTTACCCACGGGCAACCAAATGCCGGTATCAGGATCAAACTTTTCCACCAAATATCCTTCTATAGGTTCACCACCATCATCTTTAGGCTTATTCCATTTGAGCTTGCAACCCTCCTTATGTACATTTGAAACATTGAGCGGGCCTTCAGGTTTACTAGGTTTAGCTAATGATTTAATTTAAACGAAAAATAATTGATTAAATGATAAATTAGTCATCCTGACAAAATTTGTTTACTTCTTATATTGATTTGGAATTCAACTTGATCTTGTCCATATTTATTTGTTGCAACAATTTTGTATAGACCAGTATCCTTTCGTTCTGGAGACTCGTTAAAATATTTTGTACTATAAGGTATGTTTTCAATATGTCTACTCGATGTTGGTATTATAGATTTGCCGGATTGGGACCACGTAACATCGGGTGCAGGTTCGCCCTTAACCTGTATGTCCAAGTATATTCTTTCGCCGACTTTAACATTATAGGTACGAATATAGCGACGGTCAATTTTCGGAGCCACTGTGAAAAACAATCGAAATATATAATGTTTGTCGTGAAAATTTAATTTTAAATAACGTACATTTTCTTGGTTTTGTAATTACAGATTTGCTTGCATCAGATGGCTCTCCAGCGCCAGCTTTGTTTATAGCCTTTACGCGGAATTCATATTCACAATTTTCGTCAAGGTTTGGTACAGTACCTTTAAACTCGTCAATTCCTGATCCGGCTGGTGTTTCTGCTGCTTTAATCCAGCGATCAGTACCTTTCTCACGTTTTTCAATGATATAGCCTGTAATTGGTGCCCCACCATCATTTAATGGTGGCCTCCATACCAAATCTACATGATCCTTATCCCAATCAACAGATTCGGGTGTCCCTGGTTTACCAGGTTCATCGAATGGATTCTTCGCTATAACTGACTGTTCGCCATCTAGAGGCTCTGATTCGCCCTCTGTATTTACAGCCAATACTCGGAATTTATATTCATGGCCTGCTTCTAAATTGTTGAGCTCGGCGAAAGGTTCTTTAACGCGTGCAGCCGGTAACCAACGCCCACTTTCCAAATCTATTTTCTCAACGACATAGTACTCTATTGGTAAACCACCATCATCTAATGGTGGATTCCATTTCAATTGACAACCTTCTTTGTGTACATCTTGAATCCGCAAGGGTCCCTCTGGTTTATCTGGTTTATCCAAAATTGTGATGTCAAACGTGGCCTCATCATGACCTGAATCGTTTTCGGCTTTGATTGTATACTTTCCAGTATTTTTGCGCTTTGCAATAGGTATAGAAAATTTGGTACGATAATGCTCCAAATCGATATTTATATCATCGGTTTGATCTTCTATGCGAGCTTTATTATGAAACCAAGTTTTAGTTGCTGGGGGCTCTCCTGATACTTTGATATCGAGACGCACATGCTGTCCAGCTTTGATTGTTATGTCTCTTATATTTGTTCTATCAATTTTAGGCGGCGCAAAGCGATCCTTTGCCGTCATCTGATCTGAAGGTTCAGAAGGCTTACTATGTCCGGCCTTGTTTACGGCCTTTACTCGGAACTGGTATTTCGTACCTTCGCTTAAATCATTAACTCTTGCTTTGCAATCGGGTGTGCTTGTTTCTAAAACTTTCTGCCATTTTCCAGTGTTATTGTCTTTTTTTTCTACTATATAACGAACAATCGGCGCCCCGCCATCATTTTCTGGGGGACGCCAAGATAAATCAGCATGGCTAGCCGACCAATCAGAGATTCGTGGTTTTCCCGGAGCATCAGCAGCATCAAATGGATTTTTTGCTGTGGTTGATGTATCGGTAACCAAAGGTTCTGAATCACCTTCTGCATTGACTGCTTTAACTCGGAACAAGTATTGTTTACCTTCAACCAATCCTGTAACCTCGGCTTCTGGTGACTTAGTTGTGCATACTGGTACCCAACGACCAGTTTCAGTATCCATGCGTTCAACAATATAGTGCTCAATTGGTTCTCCTCCATTATCTTCGGGCTTCTCCCATTTTAACTGAACTGATTCGGCTGTTACATCAGAAACAGCAAGTGGACCTTTTGGTTTACCCGGTTTACATAGTACTTCTAATTCCACGTTAACGATATCAGTGCCGGAATCATTTTTAGCAGTCACAATATAGATACCTTTGTCTGCACGCTTAACTTTTGGCATAATAAATGTAGTTTTATAATTCTCATTTTCTATTTTAATACGTTCATTTGTTTTGAGTACTTCACCATTGTATGTCCAGGTCACTTTAGCGGGTGGTTCAGCTTTTACAGCCGCTTCCATGTGTAACAATTGCCCGCTACGCAGTACTTTCTTTTGTAAAGTGTTACGATCAATATGTGGTTTAAGGAAACGCGGTTTGGCGACAACTGATTTTGAAACATCGCTGGGTTCACTAGGTCCAGCTTTATTTACTGCCACAATACGGAATTCATACTCATGACCTTCTTCTACATTAGTAACAGTACCTTTTGTATGGTCTGCCGGTACCGTAGCAGCGTCAACCCATCCGCGTCCAGATTTGTCATGCATTTGTATAATATACTTTTGAATTGGTGCACCACCATCGTTCTTTGGTGGGTCCCACGCTAAATCTATAAAATCTTTATCCCAGTTGGTTAGTTCTGGTCGACCAGGTTTCTCAGGTTCATCAAAGGGATTCTTCGCGATAATTGGTTTCTCAGTTTCCAAAGATTCTGATTCACCTTCCTTATTAATAGCCTTTACTCGGAATTTATAAGGTTTGCCTTCTTGCAGACCTATTATCTTGGCTTCAGGTTCAGTACTTTTACCACATGGCAACCATTGACCTGTATGTGGATCTAATTTTTCAATTTCATAATAATCGATTGGGGCGCCACCATCATCTAACGGCTTTTCCCATTTCAATTTGCAACCATGCTTATTAATGTCCTTAACTTGTAGTGGACCCTTTGGCTTACTCGGTTTACCCAAAACAGTAACCTCTAATTCAGCAACATCTTCGCCAACTTCATTTGTGGCTTTTAAAACATATTTTCCACTTTGTGGCCGTTTAGCACGCATTACAAAGAATCTGGTATTATAGTCAACACTATCAATCTTAATACCTTCTTTGTCGGATACCAATGGTTGTTCTTTAAAGAACCATTCAATTTTCGGCGCAGGTTCACCTTTAACAGCTATATCTAAACTTATGGATAGACCAACTTTCACTATAACTGGTTTCAAATTTGTACGATCAATATGCGGCTTTACTGAAAACAAAAAAAAATTTCAAAATTATCGCAATGTAATATTTTTTTTTTTAAATTTAATAGTAGTTATTATTATTTATTATGTATTACTTACGAAAGCGTGGCTTGGCTGTATGCCAGTTAGTTTGCTCAGATGGCTCAGAAGTGCCGGCTTTATTTATGGCGCGTACTCGAAATTTATATTGCTGCCCTTCTTCTAGTTTCTTAACTGTGGCCTTACATATCGGACCGTCAATTTCCGCCACTTTGATAAACTCACCAGAATCTTTGTCCATCATTTCAATTACATAGCCGGTTATTGGCGCCCCTCCATCGCGAATTGGGGGCTCCCATTTTAGTTTAACATGATGCTCATCCCAGTCTTCTAACTCTGGTAAGCCAGGTGGTGCGGATACATCAAACGGATTCTTTGCCACTATTACATTCTCAGTTTCTAAAGACTCTGATTCGCCCTCTTCGTTGACCGCCTTAACACGGAACTGATACCGATGATTAGGCTCAAGGCCTTTAATTTCATGTTCTGTCTTTTCAGAATCTACGGAGCCTGCTGGCACCCATCGACCAACTGCAGTATCCATTTTTTCAATTATATAACCTGTCAGTGGTACGCCACCATCATCTTTTGGTTTCTTCCATTTCAATTTGCAACCTTCCTTATGTATGTCAAATGGTTCCAGAGGCCCTTCAGGTTTTGCGGGTTTGTCCAGTACAATAACTTCAGCTTCGGCCTCATCGGCGCCATTTATATTTTCAGCTTTTAATTTATAAATTCCGGTTTGAGCACGTGTTGTATTCAGTATCGTTAGTTTTGTATTATATTCTTCATGTTCCAAACGCACTTGATTGTCGCTGGATAGCTCTTTTTCCTTGAATACCCATGTAAGTGTTGGTGCTGGTTCACCTTTTACGTCAACATCAAATTTAACTGTTTGACCTGCTCGCACTTTTATAGGCTTCATTTTGTCGCGGTTAATATGCGGTTTCACTGAGAATCGTTAAACGGAGTTAATAAAATTCAATTAAAAGTAAAAATAGATCTCAACAAAAAAGCTTTGCTTAGCAATTAATATTTCCTGAAAATGAAGACATTAAATTATATATTGTTAATTATTGAGAAAGCAAGAAGCATTTTAGAGCCGTCGGAGTTGGTACACGTGAAACGGTATTGATTTTCCTTACAGTTCCTCGGCTTAGCAATGTGAGGTTCCGTCGCAGCACTAGGTTCACCAGGACCGGCTTTATTTACAGCACGTACACGGAATTGGTAGATATTGCCTTCAACTAGGGCCTCAACGGTTCCCTCAGGGTTAGGAGTCTGGAAATATAAAAATTTCGAGTATACATTTTTGTTACAAGTTAAAAGTTCCTATACTCACATTTGTTACTAACACCTCTTCCCAAATGGGCGAATATTTGTCTTTCTTTTCAATTACATAACCTGTGATTGGCGCACCTCCATTCTCATTAGGAGGTTCCCATTTTAATTTAACCATATATTCATTATAATCATCAATCTTTGGCACACTCGGTTTACCAGCAGTGGTGTAAGGATCTTTCGCAACAATACTACCGTCACTTTCAAGTGGTTCTGATTCACCTTCCTCATTAATAGCTTTGACCCGAAATTGATATTCATGGCCCTCTTGAAGACCTTTGACATCGATTTCGGTATCATTGCCGGAGGTGCGTCCAACAGGTACCCAGCGCCCTTGTTTCTTGTCAAACTTTTCAACTTGAAAGGCTGTAACTGGCTTGCCTCCATCATCTTCTGGTTTCTTCCATTTCAGCTTACAGCTATCTTTCGTTATATCTTTAATTTCAAGCGGACCTTTTGGCTTAGCTGGCGGTCCTAAGATGTTGACTTCAACATCGGCTTCATCCTCACCGTGTTCATTGACAGCACGTATTTTGTAGGTCCCGGTGTGCTTGCGTTCCGTTTCAATAATTGATATTTTAGTATTATGCGGCACATTTTTAATCTCATAATTCGAAGGCAACGTCTCAGGTTTTAACTCTTTGTCATTTTGATACCAAGTAATGGTTGGTGGGGATTCTCCTCGTACATTGATATCATATTTAATTGGCTTACCAGCACGTATTAAGAGTGGCTTCAGATTAGTACGATCGATTCTCGGTTTAACTAAAAAACAAATATAAATAGTGATTTGATTATATTTTAATATATAGTATATATGTATATAGTATATTCAATAAGCAGGTTCACAAGAAAATAAGAGGAAAGTTCCACGGAATCGAACACAAAATATGCACTCAAGAATTTGAGTAATGAAAATTTATGTCTGCAAAATTTTATAACAAATAACAGCCATGTGGCATCGAAAAGCATTAACGTTGTTTCACTAAGTAGCAGCCATCGGCATACATAATGTGCATAAGAGCATGAGAATCGTTTTTGTAAGAACTTTTATTCAACAAAATTTGTATGTATTTTTGTAATGTCATTTTAGTGATTTAATTATTGTATATTATTATCACAATATTTGTGTACTATTTACCGTTATATACTCCTAAAAATAAAAATACTTACGTTTCTTGTATTTGGCGACCTGAACTTTGCTGGGATCCGAAGGTGGCGATAGGCCGGCCTTGTTTATAGCAATAACTCTAAATTGATATTCTCCATACTCTTGTAATCCATCTATGCAAGCGTCCAATTGGTTTCCCGGGACTTCAATAACCTTTTCCCAATCAGGCTTCGATTTATCCTTTTTCTCAATTATATATTTTTCAATTGGTGCACCACCATCATTGTTTGGCGGAGTCCACTTTATGGAAATGCTTTGGTTGTCAAAGTCGGTGATATCGGGAGTTCCTGGCTTATTCGGTTCATCATATGGATCTTTGGCAACTACACCAACTATTGTGGTTAACGGTTCAGATTCACCTTCATCATTAACCGCGCAAACACGAAACATATATTCGGATCCCGGATTTAAGCCTGTTACATCAAAACTGGGCGGCTCCTTTTCACCAGGTGAACGGCCTACGCGCACCCACTTGCCAGTAGCTGTGTCCATTTTTTCAACGACGTACTCTTTAATTGGTACACCACCATCATCCTCAGGTTTTTTCCATTGCAATTTGCATCCATTCGCAGTTACATCGCTCACGGTTAGCGGTCCTTTCGGCGATGTCGGTTTCCCATGCACAACCAGTTCTACGGTCTCTTGGTCTACGCCGTTGCGATTTTCAGCTTTTAGTGTATACATACCGCTATCTTTACGCACCACATTCGTTATTATGAAGTCGGTATGATTATCGACGTTCTCAATTTTTATGCGATCGCCAGTGGAGAGTGGTATATCATCACGCCAGCTCCAATGCAAAGTTGGAACTGGTTCACCAATGACATCAACTGACCATTTGTGAGTGCGCCCAGTCTTAATTATAACCCGCTTAAATGTTGAACGATCGATTTGTGGTTTTACTGCCGAAATGTACGTGTAAGTTAATATTATTAAAATGTGAAATTTTTATCATACAACAAATTGAATAAAAAAATTCACAAAAGTTAAAAAAATACTGACAGATTGTACATATATAAATAAGCATACATGCATGCACAAATAGGGCAAAAAAGGTAATAACTGTTATTTAGTGTATTAACTAAGTTAACATCATAACTAGAATAATATGATGTGATTAAGGGTGGTAACACCATGAACTTTTCTTATTATGTTGGTAAATAAAGTAAATATTTTAGCACGTGGAAAATATGCCAAAGAACTGGGCTCTAAGGTCCAGGGCATGTATCCCATAGATTTAGTATAACGAAATATCGGAAGTTAATATGTTTCAGTTCTGTCGATTTGAAGTTAATTGTAGTTGCATTATACTTATAGTACGCTTTTAGTTAAAGTGAAGTGAAATTTTCCCCAAAGAAATGTTAGTCTTTATAACACGTAGATACTTACAAGTAAATTTAAAGAACGTATGCTTCACGCTATATGGAAAGCTGATAGTGATATTTTGAGGCAGACTAGTTTGATATTGTTCACTTAGAAAGAAATATTTAGCTAATGTGCTATTAGTTGGAGCACCTTGCTAGTTATACATATGTTATGTTTTAACATATGTTAAATGTATTGTGAAGTTGGTTAGTAGCTATGGAACCAATATCGTTCATAAATACATGTATTTAACAAATTAGATTTTTTCCTTAAGTTATCATTACCGATATTCCAAGTGCATATATGTCAGTTGAAAGCATAAGAGTAATGCAAGCTAAGCTTTTTCATCGATATCTTATCATGTTGAAACAACATCTGCAAATAACCTATATAAGTTAACTTACGGTTCCTATGCTTGCATAAGTGATTGTCGGTTGGTTCTGAAGGATCTGAGTCGCCCGCCTTATTAACAGCACGTACCCTAAATTGATAAACCATTTTCTCTTTAAGTCCATCGACATAGCATTCTGGTGCGGGATCTTCAGTTTTGGCAATTTCACTCCACGTTGGCGAAAATTTGTCTTTCATCTCAACAATGTAATTCAATATGGGCCTACCCCCATCGGATGGTGGACGCTTCCATTTAAGTGTAACGCTCTTATTGTCATAATCTGCAATTTCTGGTTTGCCAGGTGGACTTGGCGGATCGTAGGGATTCTTAGCAATAATAGGATCGGTGGTTTCTAATGGTTCGGATTCACCCTCTTTATTAAGAGCCTTGACGCGAAACTTATATTTTTTATTTGGAGTTAGGCCTTTAAAATTGAAAGAGGTTTCGTCTGGACCAACTTCACCCGCTGGTATCCAACGTCCCGTTTCTTCATCCATTCTTTCCAATGCATAACCAGTTATATCGCAACCACCATCATCCTGTGGACGCTTCCATTTCATTTTGATATGATCAGCTCTCACTTCTTCAGGTTCCATTGGACCACCGGGAGCTAATGGTTTGTCCAACACAGTTACCTGTGCTTCACTTTCAATAGTACCAGAACTATTTGATAACACAATCTTGTAAATACTAGTATCTTTTCGAATTGCCTTTTTGATGGTAATGCATGAATTTCGTTCCATTTGGTCAAGTGTAATACGTTGGTTATCGAAACTCAAATTATCTGTACCTTTGCACCATTTAGCCGCTGGTTCTGGTTCGCCATCATATTTAATATCAAAACGTATAGTTTGACCTCTTTTCACTACAACATTTTTCATACCATCACCAACTATGAATGGCTTTACAAATCGGCATTTAGCAATTATAGCTTTCGTTTTGTCGCTGGGTTCACCGGGACCAGCCTTGTTAACAGCACGGATTCGGAATTCATACTGTTGTCCCTCTTTTAATCCATCTACTGTACCCGCACGAGCGTCGCCAGGAACTTCCTTGCCTGCTACCCAGTCATTAGAGAATTTTTCTTTGTATTCAATGATATAAGAAATTATTGGATCACCGCCATCACTGTCCGGTGCATCCCATTTTAAGTCAGCATGATCTTTATCCCAATCTGTGAGATCAACATTTTTCGGTTTGCCTGGTTCATCCCATGGATCTTTTGCTAATACAATATTTTTGAAAGGAGCAGGGTCCGATGGACCAATCTTATTTACAGCACGTATACGGAATCTGTATTGTCTTTTTGGCGTAAGGTCCTCTATCTTCTTAAATAGTTTTTCTTGTGGCTGAACCTCAGCGACAACTTCCCAGCTTTGCTTTTTGCTTAGATCTTGGCGTTCGACTATATATTTAATAATTGCTGAACCACCATCGTCGTTGGGTTTATCGAAGATCACTTTGCAAGATATCTGGAAAACTTCAACTACATCGACATTTCGTGGTGGCTGCGGAACATCTTGGAATATAACGGTTACATTCTTAATATCTTCACCTTGACCATTAGATAATTTTATTTCATATGGGCCTGAAAGTTCTCGCGCTGGTTTCTTAATTTTAAATGTTATTTTATCTTCAGTTACACCCACTTCAACTTCTTTTACAGGCAATGGCTTACCATCCTTCACTAATTTGGCCTCTACGGGAGTTTGTCTTGTACCGTTAACTGAAGGAATAAAAACGATAATATTTTACGTTAATTACCACCCATTGACTAAACAAAAGATAAATTAAAATATGATACTTATAAAATGTAGGTTTTAAAGAGCAATAAAGAGCTGAGGAGAATCACCTTTGTATGGTACTTCGAGTACCACAGGCGCGCTTATTGGACCAGCAAATTCGTCCGAACAGTCAATGTTTGGACGACTTTCACCTTTGCGTACTGATAGTTTGCAAGTTGAAGATAATTTACCAGATTCACATGTTATTTCACCCTCATCGCCAAGATCAAGATTATTGAAAATCAGCTGGTGCTTGCCACCACCAAGATTTTTAATTTCAATACGCTCATTTGGCTCTACAGGATTACCATTGATTTTCCACTCGCAAGGTGCAGTTTGATCTTGCAATTCGACATCGAGTACCAGTTTTTCACGCTCCACAGCATCTGTGTCCTTGAGCTTTTTATTAAAACGATTCTGATCTAAAAAATGTACGCAAGTCAATAGATATATAATATAAAGAAATAACAAAATTGCAGTCTGTACATAATATTATATAAACGTGTTGTTTCACAAGACTATATTAACTACTAATTTTTGGAAAAAAAAGTAGGTTTAGTCTTTTAGAATACCGTATACTCTGTGGTCAAAAATGGCCTTTTAGAAAACACCACATTTCACAGCTCAACGCAGCTGTATTTGCTTATGTGATGTACTCTACTACTATTTTTCTAAATATCGGTTTTAATTGCTGTCAAATCAGCCATAATATTGTTCTCAAATCACGCTTTGAAGCGCTTCAAACAAGTCATACATTTTACTACATTGCAGTTACTTATGAATAGTAAGCAAAATAAGTGAGTAAAGAAACCTTATATTGAACGATTCCTTAGGTATGATTGCGAATAATTAATCTTGTAATCTAAAATTTAACTTCACAACTTACAATTAATTATAATTTCAGCTTCAGTTTTGTCAGCATTTGTTGTACATTTGAATTGCCCAGCATCACTGACCTTGCAATCTTTGATAATTAGTTTGCGTTTACGACCATCTTTAACGATTTGTATGCGCTTATCACCTTTGATTTCTTCATCACCGCGCCACCATTGTACTTCACCCGTAGCGTCATCAATTTCGCACGCAAGTGTTATATTGTCTTTTTCAATGCATTGTAGTGATTTTAGTACTTTTACAAATTTATAAGGGTATTCGACAATTTTAACTGCTGTCTCAGTCTTATCTGGTTGCTTGTCTAATTGGCAACGATATTGACCAGTGTCTTCAAGTACAGAATCTTTAATTATGAGCTTGAGGTTTCCATTTATATCTTTCGATATTAGATAACGTGGGTCATCGGATTCGATTTTCTTATTATCTTTGAACCAGGTCACATTGGCCATGCTACTGCTAACAGCACACTCCAAAGTTGTCTCATGTTGCGTAAATCCTTCGATTTTCTTCTTAAGCGGTTTAGTAAATGTATAGCTGGGATCAGCTTCTTCGACGTTCAAAAATGCAGTGCTGGATACGCCTCCAATTTCTATGGTATACTTTCCGCCATCTTCTACTTTAGGATTCATGACAATCAACTGGTAAGTGTCATTCTCATTCTTGAATTTATATTTGCTGCCAGTGAACAGTTCCTTTTTGTCGGATAAAATGCTTTAGTAAGATATCGCGTTGATTGTTATAACATATAAACAAATATTGATGGAAAACGATATATACATATATACTTGTATGTTAAAACATATTCTATACAAAGCAGCAAACCCGCAGTATGCTCAAACGAAGAGTGTGTTTGTTTTGAAACAGAAAGAGGTGTTTAAACGACGATATTTCTAACCAAGTTATACATAACTAACTGGGAGCTTTGCGTGAGCCATATTTGACAGAATTTCAGGGATTGAAATTCGCGGAGCAGTGTCCAGGGTCGTGCTGCTTTAGTTACTATATAGGTACTTATATACACAAACGTATCGTGTTCATAAAAACACATTTGTGACAAATGGCCATAGCCGTATTGTAGGAAGCTGCAAGGCTGATGAGCTTGTTGCTTTAGTTCCGATAGCAATTAGTAAGTGCGCCATTGGCTTTCTGTGGTTCGCTACTACGACTGGATTGTCTGACCTCAGACCAGCTCAGCAAGCGTTAGTCAACTACTAGCAGCTGTACAGTCGCAAGGTCCTTCTGGCCCAATATAAATCTTAAGAGGTGTAGTGAACTCTTCGCCTTCAGCAAAGATATCCAGGTGAAATAGTGGAAATAGAAATAAAGCACCTAAGCAGATTTGTTATAGGTTCAGGGCGCTTTGCTGATAGCCGATATCTAACTACAAGAGTTTTTCAGTTGGCTTTACAAAGGACTGTCCATAACAGTCTAAGTGTTATTCCCCGCCATGTTGAGGGATTAGCCATCTAACCTAACCTAACCTAATCTGGGTTACGTTATTAAGCCAATGATCTGTTTTAATTGTAGTTGAGTGGCATGTTTTACAATGCTCAAATTCGTGGACTGCGAGCAATCATTGCAAACTACTAAATACGATATTAAGAATTTATAGAAGTAGTAAAAACGTCAATTTGTTTACTTGGCTTAAACAATTTTTTTAAAATGTGTAAAATTTACTGAATGTAGGTTATTTGTACGTAGTACGCATGTACTCCTAAGGATGTAAAATAGGTTGATCGCATTAACAGAAACTTTAAGTTATATATTATTGTATACTTACATCTTTTCGCAACATCCATTTGGGTTTACAATTTGGCTTACTGAAACGCGCTTCAAATACAACTTTCTTATCTTTACCTTCCTTGGCAAATTGATCGATGAGCGGACTTAAGAAGGATTCTTGCTTCTGTTTTTTTTAAATTATGTTTGTTTCAATGGTTAATTTTTGTTTAGTAGTAGTAGTTGTTTAATTTAATTTAAATTTTAATTTAATTTAAATTTATTATTGATTGTATCGTTGCAATTTTTAGCATTGATTTGTAAAATTTAACGCCGCAATTGTTGTAATATTCCATTTAGTTTATAGGTCGGTAACACCGGTCGTTTTTGTTCGTTTTGGGAATAGGACGAAATTAAGGTTTACGTTGTCAAAAATGGGAAAAGAAATAATATTGTATAAATAATTTTTTCAATTGTCATACATTACATTATATTTATTTTGTTCGGGCAACACCAAAATTGTGTCCGCAAAAATCAGCAAAATAACTAAACACGCTTTCCAACTGATTAATTGTATGCACGTCAATTGAAAATACGTACATATTCTGCTATTCGGTAAGTATAGATGCAAGCAGAATATAGATTTCATATTTATACTACGGCACATACATATATGTGATACAAAAAAATTGTATTAAAGTTTTTTTTGGTAAGTGTTACGTTTTCAGTTGGGAGTACAAAAATTCAACTTTAAGTGATGTATTTGAATGTGAAAGTAGTTTGTGGCACATATATATATGTACACATATCACAATAAGCCAATATCCAACAGGAAATTTATTAAATTGGATGAAAAATTAAGCATTGGGCAGAAAAAAACACACATACTCGAAAATAAAACAATGCGTTGAGGGTAGTAAATTAAAATTTTAAATTAATAGAAATCGTTTCGTTTGAACCGAAATAAAATAAAAAAGATTTTATTCCTAAAAATTGTATTCTTTGCTGTACCAACTTAATAACTGAGTTACAATAAAATTGTTGAATGTGAGCAGACGCTTAAATTTTAACTATTTTAGCATTGTATATATTATATTTTGTATATGTATGTGTATGTGTATAAAATATGTATTAGATTAGTATTAATGAATGTGTATTAAATATGTATTATAAGTGAATTAATGTTAGATTTTAGTAATGCTTATTATATTAATGCTTATATTATTACTATACAGCGTCTATCAATAGGGATGACGTGATTTTGACAGCTCGTGGCTGGGTTTGGTTCAAATATTGTCGTATGTTCAGTAAGGTTTGTCATTTCATCATGGTTCGATTCACTTCGGAACAACGTTTGGAAATTGTCCAAGATTATTACGCAAATTCACGTTCTCCGAAAAATTAACAAATTCAGGTTCATCGAAAAATCATCTTCTCAGATGAGGCCCATTTCGGAGTTAATGGCTTCGTCAACAAACAAAATTGTCGCTATTGGGGCGAGTCAAATCGTCGTGCGGTTGAGGAAACGCAATTGTATCCCTAAAAATGTACCGTTTGGTGCGAATTGCGGTATGACGGCATCATTGGGCCTTATTTCTTTCGAAATGACGCAGAAAATGCCATTACCATCAATAGACGGGATGTCGCCTCATGTTTCACGTCTAAACATTGACACATAGCGTGCAAAGTGTGGCGACAAGTTAATTTCAGAACCCATTTTGACCAAATTTGAGTGTTTTATTTAATTTTAACATCACGTCGTTCTTGTTGGTAGAGCCTTTATGTATACAAGTAGAAACATATAGAAACAAATGGCTTTTAGGCGTTTAAAAATCACAAAAGCAGCATTTTTATTCAATAAAAGTAACATTCACCTAGTAAATATTATACATACTTTTATGTGTGCATTCTTAGGTAACTTATTACGTATGCCTGACTACATACCCTGCTGATAAAATGCGTTCATTTAGATGTTCGTATATTAGTTATGTGAAGTGAGCAAAAAACGTTTACGTATACAATTTCCTCAACCACTCATGGTCTAAAAATCCAACTAAAACAAGCCGTAATTGAAAAATTTCTTGCATACAAGGTTCAACAATACTATTAAGCATTGATATTTGGCATAGAAACTAAAAATCCTACCAAGAAAGGAACCGCACATTTCTTGTTGCGTTTTGTTTCTGCATTTTTCGGGTAAGTCTAACGGTAATCAATTTTGTGAACAAATGGACAAAAGTGTAAGCATGTTGCATTTTCACTGAGACCAAAAATGTGTCAGCCGATTAAAATGAATAACATCTTATTACCACAAGCAAATGATGTAACTTATCTTGGCATTCACTTGAACAGAAAGAGCAGAAAATTTAAACTGACTTTTGAATAAAAATTCTAAACTTAGCCTAGACTACAAAGTTTTATTATACAACGCGGTAATAAAGCTGATTTGATTTCAACTGTGGGGTACGATCCGTGCAACTAACATTGATATAGTACAAAGGTTCTAGCCAAAAATCCTTAGAGCTATAACGGGTTCACCATGATACATTTGTAATGAAAATATTCACAAAGATCTTGGTATTCCTATATTAAAAAGAGAAGTAGAGGACAGCAAAAAAATTATGAACATAAACTCCGTAATCATCGAAATCCATTAGCTAATGCCTTGCTACAGTCCTATCAAACCCGCTTAAAAAGAAAAGATTTATCAGCTTTGTAAAGAGCAACGTATGACCAAACAGGTTTAACTAGAACCTTGAGTTTGTCAAGTTTTAATTAGATTTAAGATTCTATTACTTATTGTTAGGCTTTGCACAAGCAGATTCAACAAAAACGATATATTAACAAAAAATTTAACTGTTCACTTGCTTAAATTATATTGCAGTAGAATTTCAATTTGCTAAATTTTTTGTAAAACGTGAAACTGTTACGTCCAAAATGCGTTGGTTGGTGAAATTCAATTTTAAACTCGGATAATTATCTTAGACTTGTATTTAAAGAGGAAATAGATCGTATAACTGGCCGAATTATTAACAAATCGCCATCGAGTGTGCAGACTATAATTCACACAAATGGAAATTCTGGAACTTGGCCGCAATGAACATAAAATCCTTGGTGTAATACAGGCAGAACCAAGGCAATCGGCACCAGAAATACAGAAGGAAAATTTAACTTGATATTTCAAAATTGTACGTAAACCTTTTTTATGTTAAAAATCCAAGTTCCTTATGTTTTTTTGTTTTTAATCCTTCTGTTTTTTATCACTTTAGAAAATGAGAAAAGACTTATAGTTGTGAAAATATGAATGATTAAAATATAATCAATTTGCGATTTAATATATGAGGATAGATTTTATTGAGTTTCTTCACAAAAACACCTTGCACGTAAACTTTTTTTGCTCACTGTATGTACATATGTGTAAAAACAGGCAGTCAAAATATTCTAAGTTTATGATCAAACTTTATTTTATTTTATGAGGGCGCTATGCATATACATAAATAATTCATTAATAAGTTGGTGATGATAATATTATATTTTAGTCTGCAATAGTCTTTTACAAGAATTTCGCGAAAAGATGAAGTAAGTTAGTTTTTAAGTATAGTTAAAGTCGAAGTCTAAATTCGCATAGTTATATTTTTCTGGTGGGCATATAAGAGTACAAATGAAGATTGTCGAAAACCTCGAACAATTTCAAAAATTGTTAGCACAACATCCATAAATAGACATCGATAAAATATGTTCTGTATTAAAAATGTAGACGCCGTCTTGAAACACTTTATAGTGTTATACAAAATTGTACATTGCAAAATTTCCATTTTCTGAGTTAAAAGGTCCAAAAAATGTACGAGAAAAAACCGAGCGGCCTTGTTGATAAAGAAGCGAACGGTAATTACACAGTACAATCAAACATAGATCAGAAAAAACTTAGCATTTGAGAATCAAAGAGTAAAGAAATAGAGTAGTTGTTTTCGAAAACAAAAATTGTCCACACAAAAATTTCTCATTAACGTCTTTATACAAGTGTTTTAAAACGCTGGAAGTCCAAGTGAAAACAATAAGTAAATGAGTAAGCACATACATTTACGTATATGTAAAATTGAAACCGTAGCTTTGAGTTTGATTAGAAATAAATATTAATATTATTATTACTACGAATATTATTCAGTATTTATTTGGAAATGTGAGATAGAGAAAGTTTAAATAGACAACATATAATATGTAGTACTAAAGAATACTCAGATTGAGTGCCAAAATTCTTTGGCAAGGAATATAAAAAATTGTCGAAGTAGTCAAATAAATTCAGGGCTGGTGCCTGTAGTCGAACCTCCTCGCGTCGAAATGGGTGTAATGTTGGCCAATCGGGTATCAATTCAGCTAAGGACGGTCTACGTGATCGATTTGCCTACATACAAAATGTTGATTTTTTGCATCATAGAAAATAAAATATATTAAAAATTTAGTTTTTACATTGGATCATATATGTGTATGTATGATTTGTCGGATTTAGTTTTATGGTCTAAAAATTCATATAACACTTCAATATATGTATTTGTGTACGTTTGTACCATATATGTTCAATGCAATGTTTCGTGTGCATATGTTTATTACAAAGAGCAGAGCATTAATTTAGTCAAAGTAATGTAATTAATACGAGTATATGTGCATATTTAATTCTATCTCTTCTCAGTATATTTGCAAAGTCGAATTTCCCATGATTAGTTCGTTACAGCCGAAAAACTATTATCACAAGTTTCGTAACACCCTAAGTGCCGTTTCACATTGGGATTCAAAAGAGTCTGATGTTTTTCAAATTTTCTTTTGGTGTCGCTCTGGGCATTCACACGGTCAAAAAGAGTCCAGCAACTCGAGTCTAGTTTTTCTGCATTCCTTTATACAAAATTTTCGTGCGGTTCGACTCCGCAACACTGCGTGCTGCGTATTTCATTTGTATGTTGAGATGATGGTCACACATTTTGCTTGCAATGAATTACCATGAATATGGTAGAACAATATGCATAATACAAGTACCTACCCGCTAAATAGTTTCAAAGAAATACTAAAGACGGGAATTTCCTAATCCACAAGAATGTATTGAATATCCGCTACAAATATTTTCAAGGCCAAATTTATAATAGGAATTTCCTAATCTTTAAGTATTAAAAACTCATAATTTCTTTACTCCGTATTAAAAATTCATAATTTCTTTACTCCATAATCTATATCTTAATTTTCTCCTTATTTACAATTTGTCATAATATTTCTATTATTCTATGCATACGTATTTGCATATTACATACAAAAAATAGATAACAGAATTCAAATTAGCGATCGAATTCATTTGAAACCGAGCGCTCTTGCAACCATTCAAATGATTTGAAAGTGAAAAGGAATGCTGAAAAGGGTAGCAGCGAGCTGTTACGAACAAGAACACAAAGCGTGCCACCCGAACACGAGTGGCACGGTCCCTTCGTCTTTCCTCGTCGTCCCCTCGCCCACAATAAACTGGTATGAGACTCTTTTGAGTCCCTGTGTGAAACGGCACTAACTAAATTTAGTCTTTATGTAGCTGCAACGCTATCAAACATAATCGAATCATAATCCATAATCATAATTTAAATATATTCGTATATACTAACATTATCATCCAAAAGGACGGATAGCGTGGTAAATTAAAACTTTTAATGAAATTGAAAAGAAGAAAAAACGTTAACTTCGACTGCACCGAAGCTATGATACCATTCACCGGGGTATTTTTATAGCATGAAAGGGTATGAAAAGATCTTTATTCTGATTTTGATCAGTCAGTATTAATGGCGGCTATATACTCTAGTGTTCCGATCTGAGAAATTTCTATGGAGATTGTAGCGATGTCTTTGATAATAATCTCTACCGAATTTCGTGAAGATACTTTGTCAAATAAAAAAGTTTTCCATACAAAGACTTGAGTTTGATTGGTCAGTTTGTATGGCAGCTATATGCCGTAGTTCTCTGATCTGAAACATTTCTTCGAAGATTGCTTCAATGCCTCTGAAAATAATCTATGCCGAATTTTGTGACGATACCTAGTCAAATAAAAAAGTTTTCCATACAAGGACCTGAGTTTGATCGTTTAGTTTGTATGGTAGCGTATACTATAGTGGTTTGATATCGACGGTTCCGACAAATGAGCAGCTCCTTGCTGTGTAAGAGACGTGTGCAAAATTTCAGATCGATATCTCAGAAACCGCGAAACTAGTTCGCGTATGTACAGAAGGATAGACGGATATTATTAAATCGAGCAATTGAGATAATTAAATAGCAAGCCCATCAAATTTGGTAACTTGTAGCCAGAAGCCTGCTTGTAGTGTAGTTGTTAAATGGATTAGATTAACGTTAAGGTCTAGCCGTCATGACGCTTAAAGTGCTTTCAGAAGTTTTATTTTGGACAAAAAGATACCATAGTAATGAGCTTTGAAACACATTAGAGTCTACCACCGCCATCAGTCTGTTTTTGGATAAGGAGGCACATTTAAAATAAGCCAAAAGTTCTTTTAACACTAGATTTCATTATTCGTGTGTATTTGAGCCGAGCACTGTTATGCTTATGGAAAGACTGCCACTTCGTTTGTGCAGTCACGTTGAAACTTTGGAGCTCGAGTTTGACCTAATGTATTACCTCAACTATCCATGTGCCCTTAATCCAATTTATCCCTATGCCATAACATTACGCTTTACTAAGAAATATAATTTTCTTTTGGATACAGCACTTTAGTTCACAATATTCTAGGCTAGGTTCGTTAAATAAAGTTCCAGTTTTCGTCCGCTGATATTGAAGTGATTTAGATAAATAAATTTTTGTGAACAAATTTTGGAAAATTTTATATCTATAACATAAAATAAATACAATAGATTTACACTAGAAGTCTGATTTTTCAGAATATAAGTTGATATTCCAAAATAATTTTAACGTATAAAAAAAAAAAATTACAATTAGTATACCTAAAGCAAAATGCTTTGCGAATACAGTATATATTATTATTAGGCAGTTTGGTTAATACCTAGTTAGTATATTTTTAGTAATTTTGCACGATTAATTTGCAATGATCGAATGTTGTGTATCGAACACTTCTTACCCTCTCTACTTTTTTGAGTGTCGGCAATGGTTTCTCAGTTTGTTTTAATTCACCCCAATTGGGATCTTCTTCTTCTTTGTCCCATTTTTGATAACGACGTTTTTTGAGCATGGCCCGGAAATCCATGCCACTAGAATCGGATACATACAATTGCATTTCGGCAGAATCTTCGCCGTGTATGTTTGCAACAACAACTTTATATTTGCCCTCATCATTAGGTTTACATTTTCGCATACAGAGCGTAATAGAATTTGTTTGACCATCAGTAAGAAACTTAAAACGGCCACCTTCAATGATTTCGCTGACACCTTTGTAGAATCTAAAGGTTGGCGCTGGATTACCTTCTACGCCAACTGTCATATAAGCCGTTGAGTCTATGTTTATGTACATTGAAATGTGCAAATAACGGGAAAACATACAGTGTGAATATACATAAAAACATATAATGACGATAAGAACATATAAATATACATATGTGAAGTTCCTATACTAATATAAAGACACATTAGTAAGTAAACAAGTATGTGGGAATTAAAAAAGCATACTTACATACAGTACAGTAATATTTGTATATCCAGAATCAATATATATTAAAATTTAGCTATATTGTTCGTCAATCTGATTTACACAAATATTTATAATTTAATTGCATGGTAACCGCCGTAACATTTTAGATGTTTCGACGTATAAGTAATACGGAAACTAATATACGATGCCTATAACATGTTTATTTATTTGTATTATTTCAATAATTTTTAATATCCATTTAATTTATCTAATTTGTATTTGTAAGAAAGAAATAATGGGTTCGATCAAAGTAGTATTTGAAATATGAGGTGGTCGCGACCATTAATCATGAAAGAACTAAATTGTTATGTATTTTATGTAGAACAAGTAAGGAAGGGTATAACCGAACATTTCATACTCTTGCAACACCAGATTATTGGAAAGAGATTCTTTTTGAATTTCTGTAAAAATTCTCACATATTGACCGATATATACGGTACGTATACTCGTATGGTGGCTAAGGGAAGTGTTGAACCGATTTTACCCATTTTTGGCACAAGTTATAGTTCGATTTCGACAATTTTTGAGCGTAAGGTGACCTACTTTATGAGCATTATTCGGGCAAAGTTTTATCCAGATACATTTATTGGTGCCTAATTTGCATACTGGAAAGTGAAAGAATCAGATGGAACTTGAAATTGTGTAATATGGGAAGTAAGCGTGGTTGTAGTCTGACTGCACTGCGGCTGCTATAAAGCCCTCTTGTACCATCTCGGGTGTCAAATTTTATGTCGTATTATTTATTGATTTATTGCGCTTTTAGTAGTTTGTAACAGAACCTATCGTGTCTTAAGTAATTTAGGAGATGTGTAGATTAAACCTTTTAGAGGACGGGGTCATGCCCATTTCTTTCAAACTTCTAGCCTGCAATTGCTTCTTGCTACTTCAATCCTCTGTACCAATTAATAGTTTTATATCTTAATTTGGTACTTAGTTATGGCATTTTATAAGTTTTCGGTTAATGGCGTTTTGTACGATATTTTAATTTTTACTGAAGTTATTTATATCATTTATATATTTAAAACCCTATATCTAACTCGATTATTTGTAGGTGATACAAACCACCGTTAGGTGAACAAAACTGTTACCCTCTGTACCAACATGTTGCAGGAGTATAAAAATGTACCAATCTTTTGTTCTATGTAACTCAAACATGATAAATACTAACGATTAATACATCGTTTACAATTTTGACTGGCGAATTCAGTTAGATGCATTATACCACTGTAATTAATTGTCCATTCAAAAAGTCCATAAGATGATACATAGATGACCTAACTAAATTTTTCACATGATTTTAATTTAGTACTAACCTTGTTACATTTTATAAATTTGACATCAATCTGATCGTTGATTTGTCAGTTATTACATTTTGTGTGAAGCGACTTTATAAAAAAAAGTTGAAATTTCTTGGAAATACACTAATTAATTTTGAGGGATCGCAAATTGAAGATGTACGAGTTAGCTGATATTGTAAAGATATATTTACTATTTTGCATGAGCATTTGAATATGCGAAAGTTTGAATAAAATGAAATGAATTAGGCTTCGCATTGCTTTCCCACCCACCGTATTCTCTACATTTAGAACAAAAAAATAAAGTTTTGTCAATTTTTATTTTTTTTCTCACTTATCCTAAGGACTTATTGAATGACTTGTTAGATAATATGATTTATGTCTGGAATTAATGCAAATAGAACTTAGCTCAAACATTTGGGTTGGTGCATGGAGTTCAGAGATTGTGAATGTCCTCATTAAACATTGAAAGAATAATTTATAATAAAAACAAACTGTATGTAAGTAGGCTGAATTGAAAAGTTAAGTATGATATGAAAGGTTTCTATGCTGTACTTACCTTCAACGACTGAATATGACTCCTGTACATCAATAATTTGTGGTGGACCACCGTCACCGACTTCACGTAATGGTGTGGATGGTTTGTTAATCAAATCTTCAAGATCCTGAACACTGGGCCGACGTATATCAATTGACGTTCTGCGACGCTATTGATTCCAAATAAAAACGATGCAAACATGAATTGTACACGGTAGAATTGTATTTGTATATATGTTGTTGACGGGAAAAAATGAATCGAAAAACATAATAATCCTATTAATACATTAAGTGTTTAGTCAATTTCACATATAAATATAAGGGTTAATCTAAAATTTTAAAATATTTAAAGGAGGTGAGAAAACAATGCAATATAACAATCAATATTTCATAGAACTACAATTCAACAAGTCTTAACACTACAGGTCAACTACAACAAAATTATATGATATACGATGTGTGATTATTACATACTCGAAACAATTTTGTTAACCAAACGGTAATTTTCAACACCTTAGTTTTGAATATATGTATATATTTTTGTTGGAAAACAAATTTATTTTCTTCCCCGCTACCGAAATGTTATTGAAAAAAATATATACATATGTAAGTATAACAATAAAACTGGTAAACAAAATTAAACTACCCTCAGTTCCTTGCTAGCAGCTCTAGTTTTAGTGATACAGGTACTTCTTGAAATATCGTTACTCGGCTCACTTGAATTAATTTTTAGCGCGAAAAATTACTAAATTTCATTAATAAACCGCTATGTCTACTTTAAAAAAAACTTGTTTAAATGATCCGAATAGTTCTAAACAAGGATGGGGAACTTTTTAAATATATCACTCAAATATTTCCGAAATTAAGCACAGAAAAAACAAGTAAGGAAGGGCTAAGTTCGGATGTAACCGAACATTTTATACTCTCGCAAAGTCAAATAGTATACTCGTTTGACATTTTTTTGTGGATTGACTGATATTTTTGGTAAAAGGTCAACTATAGGCACTGGGGTCCACATTTTAGTGCTTTGGGGCTTAAACAGTTTTGGTTCGATTTAGACAATTTTTGGCCACAAGGTGGCATACTTTAATCGCATTATTCACGCAAAGTTTTATCCCGATACAGTCATTGTTGCCTGATTTGCATAGTGGAAAGTGAAAGAATCAGATGGAATTTAAAATGGTGTTATATGGGAAGTAGGCGTGGTTGTAGTCCGATAGTCACCCATTTTCGCACTATGACATAGAAACATGAAAAGAACGTTATGCACTGAATTTGGTTGAAATCGGTTAAGCAGATCTCAAGATATGGGTTTTCACCTAAAAGTGGGCTGTGCCACGCCCACTGTCTAATTTTGAACGCGGTTCCTATAAAGTCATCTCATACCATCCCAGAGATAAAATTTAATGTCTCTGGCGTGTTTAGTGCTTGATTTATCGCGCTTTTAGTAGTTTTTAACAGTACCGTTATATGGGGAGTGGGCGGAGTTGCCACCCGAGTTCAACTATTTTCACACCGTCAATAGAAGTGTTAAAAACATTTGCTTCCAGTTTTGTTATTATAGCATTAACGGTTTAGTAGATATGCACATTAAACCTATTAGAGGCAGGACCACGCCCACTTAAAAAAAAAATTAACTGCAGATGCCCCTCCCTAATGTGATCCTGTATACCAAATAACAGTCTTGTATCTTATTGCGGAGCTTAGTTATGGCAATTTATTTGTTTTTGATTAATGACGTTTTGTGGGCGTGGCAGTGGTCCGATTACGCCCATCTGCAATACCAACCGTCTCACGGTACCAAGAAACATGTCTACCAAGTTTCATAAAGATATCTCAATTTTTACTCAAGTTAGAGCTTGCAAGGACGGACGGACGGACGAACAGACGGACGGGCGGACAGACAGTCACCCGGATTTCAACTCGTCTCTTCATCCTGATCATTTATATATATTATATATAACCCTATATCTAACTCGATTAGTTTTAGGTAATACAAACAACCGTTAAGTGAACAAAACTATTATACTCTGTAGCAACAGGTTGCGAGAGTATAATAAAGGCGGTATTTTTGACGGTCCTTAAATCAGGGAACTAATAAAGGACCAACAGTAGATTGTATGACAGATAAGGAGAAATCTGCATGGATTGAATTTATTTGGGTTGTGCAAAGGTACTCAGGAAATAAAAAGTCACCATATTACATTCAACACATTGAACAGCTCATGTTGCACTTCCAGAGACTAGGATGAGCATCAAGATGCACTTCTTCTTCAGCCATTCAGACCGCTTCCCAGAAAATTTAGGCGACTTAAGCGAAGAACAAGGAGAACGCTTTCATCAGGACTTACGCACTATGGAAGAGCGATACTGGGGCCGTTGGAATGCAAATAGGATGGCAAAATCATACAAAATCGGGTAAGAAACTTTATAAAACCAATCTACTGTTTCCCAGTGTAATCTTTAAAAGTGTTTTCGCGTTTACGCTACGAAACGTTCCACCAATCATTTAAACATTGCTAATTATCAAATAAATGTGTCATCCACCTTTTTTAAGGTGTATTTTTTTCCTTTTTATTATTATTAATTGTATAATAAATATTTATTAAAGATCAAATTTGATCCGTAGCAGGATTGGTACAATATTTTTTATGTTTGTGTGAAGTCTGATTTTCATATGTCAATTAGTGTGTATTTGGCAGCTGTTTATTTCTGACTCGAAAAGTTTGTCTAGCGATTTTTATCATGAATAAAAAAGTTGAACAGCGAGTGTGCTTGAAATTTTGTAGTTCCAATGGAATCACGGCTAGAGCTATGTTCCAGAAGTGTTTTGGTGAGTCAACTTTACCACAACACACGTATCACACGTATTTGCAAATACACGCACAAGGCATTCAGTGAAGACTTGTCTCATGCAAGTCGTTTATCCACCGCTGTTAATGACGATAACGAAAAAAAAAATAAAGAATCAGCGCTTGAAAATCGTCCTGTCGACAACAGAGAGGTAGCAGAGGATCTCAACATCTGTTATGGATAGACTCATCACATTTTGGTCAAAAATACACCGTAATAATAATGTAATTTAAAACCCAAATGCGTCTTTATTCAGTCGATAATGTGATATAAGCCTGTAAAGTTAGCATTTCACATGCGATTCCCTGGTGCATCAAATGAATTACTGTGATCTCTTAATATCTTCCTTTTAATTTTTTCGTTGCTTTTTTCCAATAAAATAAAAGCTTAAATAGCGAAACTCATTGTATACTTTAGTAGACTTTATTCAGTATTTTAAATTAATCAAAAGCTTCCCAATTTATTAATTTTGCGTAAATACGAAAATACTAAAATCCAATCAGATTCTGTGACACCACTGAAAACCAGAATTGGTTTGCAATTCTGACAACAACTTAAATATAATATGTCTTGAATTCCACAACATCCCTGATTATTTTGCATACCGACGATTTATAAATACTGCAGTCATACTGTATCGATGCTTTGCAGTAGTACGTTTTCGAAGTCAACAAAATTAGCGGATTGATACATATATTGTGATTGAAAATATACTTGAAGTAAAAAAAAAGCAATACTTGGTAGTAATTTTTAAAAATTATTCGACTGCTAAATTGTTTTTAGATAATTTAATTTTTCAAATAACTCGGTAAAAGATGCTTTAAGTGTTGAGTGTGTCACCGAAAATTGTAATGTTTCTGTTGTTTACGTTTACAAGCGAGGCAATTGTAGAAATTATGCTATGAGGAATTGTGGCGACGCAGTACTTTTGGGGATCAAGTTAATAAAATTTAATTTCACTTAATATTAATATATATGTATAATTCAATATTTGTGTTTTATAACCTGCAAGTGTTTCAAATGAATTGTGTCAAATTTCTTATGCTGAATCATCTACATGAAAGTGCTTTTTTGTTGTGTATGTCTGAACAGCTGACAAAACGTCTTTTTTGAAAAATGTAATGAATATCAAGCTACCCAGCACCAAACTTAATTATAATCCACCATACCATTAAATTGGTTGGCAAAACACTGCTTTCCGAAAAAGGCTCGTAATTCCAGATTATTTATGACAATTTGCATGGTATGCCTACAAGTAGTTATGTTTACCCCAGTATTATCATTAAATGTTGCATTTATATTTCCAGCGTCATCTTGCCACTTTCTTCTCTATTGCCCGGGTTCTGCCAGATTGAGATTGAAATAGACATACGTTTGGAGAAGCTAGCGATGTAGGTGAGACTGATATTGACCGCCTTAAACAATTTGTGGTGAGCTCAAAACGCTTCGTCGATCTATGAGGTGATGCACTTTAAGGAGTTTTTGGGTAACACAAAGGACAAATATCTGTCCAAGTGACATCCATCGATTTTTGAATCAACCCTACGTTCTAACCCAAATAAGCACTTGTAGTGATCAACGGTTTCAGAAATAGTTGTAAACTGATGTAACAAAGAAATCAAAATTGACAAATAGTGAATTTTAAGCAAATAGTGACAATTTAAAAATTGGTATTATTAGTGGCACTACCAGAATCGGAAGTAATTGAATACTTTTAAGTTTCTGTAAAGCTTTTGAGTACTTGTTAGTATTGAGTAATTTTATTTTCTGAGAGTACTCAGCATGGATTCTAGTAATAGCTATGCTTTTCAGAATCAAGCTGTATAAATGGGGATTACCACTTTGAATTTGGTATTACTACTGTATCTATTTATCAATATTATTTACTCGTACCTTAGTTTTCAAGTTCTTCATTGCATTGAATTTGTCACATATGTACCTAGAACTCAACGAAAGATAGGTATTGTATGAACGTAAAAAAGGGTAAAATCTAAACACAGTTCATTGACATCTTGTGACGTATCACCACCAATTTAATTACTTCCGCTCCTGCACAACAGCACCAAAAGCTAAGTGGGGTCAAAAGCTAACTCCATTTATAAAGGGTAGAATTTACACTTCAAAGAAACTGCACACATATGTATGTCTATTAGTATATGTACAACTATATATTGTAGTTACAACTATCCATGCTAAATACAAATTTCTTTATCTCAATATTTCGATGAATCTATTACTCTATGATAAAAATTTACACATTTGTAAATAAATACAAACAATATATGTAGTACTTAATATTCTCATTACTTAATTAAATTGCATTTATCATTAATTACATGTCTATGTATATATGAATGTATGAGAAATTACAATATATTATATAATCAATATCTTTTGGCGTAATTCTGGTTTTTATTTACAAAACTAATTCTGAAAATATTTCAAAACTTTGAAATGCAGAAAACAAAGTGAACTTTTAAATAACATAGTCTACAATTGAAGCAATAAATAAAAATATATATTGCTTTAACCTGTTTAGTGTCACCAACCTCGCCAGGACGTTGATTTTTTTTCTAGAGATAAACATGATAAATAATTAATCGAATGTACTAAATTTATATACATATACAAAAATAATTTCATTTGTGTGTATGACTAACTATGTATGTATTAACTAAATATATTTTAAGATACATTAATAGACATTCGGAAATTATTCTTATGAGGTCTAAGTCTGTTATATAGCGCTGGAGTCAGAAAAACATAATTTGTAAAAAAATTTATGGTTTGATTTTGTTCATTTTTAGTGCTATATTAATTATTTCGAGTGAGAAATAAAATGTTACTGAGCAGATTCTAGTAGATTACCAGTATATAATAGATTATTCCAGATTGTAGTAGATTAATATATTATTTTATATAAATATATTATTCATTAACTGAAGCACTAAAGATTTAAACGCTATAAGTCATTAGATTATGTTTACTAACATCATGGTCTCAGAGCCACAGTCGGCAGACTGTATGACTTTAGCAAAGGTGATATTTTGCTAAAAGATTCTCCTATACCTACCTTATATGAGATCGGGAGCCACTAAGCACGCGAAGGGAGCTATGGCGTCACTAAGGTAATAGAGGTACGAAAACTAGAAGACTTTCGAAAGTATTTTAACAAAGCTGCAATTTGGTAATATTAAGAGTTCAATGAATGTAACGTCCAAATTAATGTCAGATCATTTTGACCTCGAGGCAGACGTTTTGAAAATTAAAAAAAAATTAAAAAGTATTTTCACAAATCTCATTTTTATATATATTATTTTTAATACTTTGATTAGCTTATTCCTAAAACGGCAAACGTTTCTCTGGTTGCAATAGTCTGGCAGACGGTAATATTATATATTACTTACGGTGTAAGTACGAAAAAAGTAAGTAAGTAAGAAAGAAAGAGCTGATAGCCATACCGAAAAGCGCATTCAGCAGTGCTTTGAGGATTGGAAAAAATGTTGGCACAATTGTATTATATCCGAGGGTGATTACTTTGAAGGGGGCAAAATAGATATTGATGAATAAATAAGGAATTTTCAAAAAAAATTCAAAATTCGAGATTTTTTTCAATACATCTCGTATACCGGTATTAAGTGAGCGTTAAGATACAAATGTGTTGTGACCACCAAGAACTGCAAGCAATATTGGATGAAGTTGATACTTTGAGCCGAAAGCAAATGGCAGTCATGTAAAAGTTGCAAAACACACAATTTAACATTTAAAAGCTATGGGAAAGATCCAAAAGTGTAGAAAATGGGTGCCACATGAATTGAATGAAAGACAAATAGAAAACCGAAAAAACCCTTGTGAAATATCAAATGATCGATTTGAACCATGTATTGCTCGAAAAACGACCAGAATTGGCCAGAAAGCACGGAAAAGTTATTTTGTTACACAACAATGCACCTGCACACAAAGCAAAATCGGTTCAGGATATCATTATGGATTTAGTAGCTAGGATTCCATATAACAGAGCCATATTCCAATATAGGTCTAACCAAAGTTGTAAAAAGTGTTTTAGTAATATACGGATTTCCAAATTATTTAGACCAATGTTTAACAAAACTGGGGACACCTAATAAGACCATGGTATCAATATGGAAACCAAACACAAGCTTAGGGTCCATATTAACTGCCAAATCAAAAAAGTTAAAACTCGCTCTAGACTATTCTTTTTTATTACGTAGGGAGAGCGGTGCACAGATCTACGGGAAAAGCACATCGTCTTACATTTATTGATATTCAATGGCAAATCATTTCTATCACACCAAGCAACCAAATTGTTTAAGTGAGTCGGGGCAATTCGTAGAACAATTTCACACATTTTCGGTAATAAGGGGGTTTCTACCTTGTTAGCCCGACAACCTGCGGGTTTTACTGGAATTTTTATCATAACACACTTGTCGAAGGTTATTTAAACTTTACACATTTTTTTTTGGTGATCCAAGTAACGGTACCTCCCTCGAACAGTGAATTTTCGAAAGCCAACAGAGTTGAATTTAAATTCGGTCCCGGTTCGTCTAAATTACGTGGCATGAATGAAATATGGACCGCACATGCCGACTATTAAAATTTAAACGGAATGATATAAGAACTATAGTAGGAGTACTATCAGGCCACTGTCTAATAGGCAGACATGCCAGTAGACTTTGAACGACATATAACGACTATTGTGGAAACAAGGGGTAGAGGAGGAGGATAACATTAAACATCTTTTATGCGATTGTAAGGCGCTCTATAGGAAAAGAATCCATCGATCGAGGTTTCTTGGCGACGTCTTGGAGGTTGCACAGATAAACCTTGTCATACTGATGAAGTTCATCAGAATCACGGGGTGGCTCAAAGAGGAGCCAATAGAGTGAGGGGTCTTTGGTATCGGTGGTATCGCAATGGGCCTGCTGAAGCCGTAGGTGTGTCGCAAGACACCTACACTTTTCCGTTTCCATGGTACTAAAACGAAGGAGAAAACATGAAAAATGCCAGCATAATGAGCTTTAGAAAAAAAACCGATTTTTGGCTATTTTTCGTTACCAATTATTATTTTAAATAAACAAATTTTCAATATTTTTGCACAAACTCCAGATGAACATGTGTAGAAAATTTCATGGCGATTACCGCGGCGGAAATTTTGAGAGTGTATCTTGAAACATGTATGTATCTATTTAAATATGCAAAAAAATAAAATATGTTTTTTGATCTCACAATATAGAACCCTGCCATAAACTATAGTATATCCTATCTTATACGCTCAGTTAATTTTACTAAGGTATCTTGCATATTGACTTATACAAAAGGTATAAAGCCGGAAGGTTGAAAATTTTTTATTAGGTATATTGGAGAGAATGGTAGTATTGAACCTGTGGGTGGGTGATAAGAATCCGATTTCAACCGTTTCTACATTAAACCTATTCAGTGCAGTAGTAACATATATATAAATAATATATTACCGTCTGCCGGACTGTTGCAACCAGAGAAAACATCTGCCGTTTTAAAAATAAGCTAATAAAAGCATTAAAAATAATATTTATAAAAAAAATCAGATTTGTCAAAATACTTTTGACCAACAACTTTATATTTAAAATGTAATATTTAAGACAACAAGTGAACATTTATAAATGATGTTGTATATAATATGACAACTTTAAATCGTGAATGTATTAATGTGAAATACATCTCAATCGCTAAATCTGCGTTGGATATTTCACACCGAAATGAGATGTTTCATACAAATTTAAGCAATAATGAAGTGTTTATGTATGTATTTTGAAAATTCACTCGGGTATTTTTATACTCTCGCAACCTGTTGCTACAGAGTATAATTGTTTTGTTCACCTAACGGTTGTTTGTATCACCTAAAACTAATCGAGTTAGATATGGGTGACTGTCTGTCCGTCCGTCCGTGCAAGCTCTAACTTGAGTAAAAATTGAGATATCTTTATGAAACTTGGTAGACATGTTTCTTGGTACCGGGAGACGGTTGGTATTGCAGGTGGGCGTAATCGGCTGCCACGCCATTAATCAAAAACAAATAAATTGCCATAACTAAGCTCCGAAATAAGATACAAGACTGTTATTTGGTACACAGGATCACATTAGGTGGGCGTGGTCCCGCCCCTAATAGGTTTAATATGCATATCTCCTAAACCGCTAAAGCTATAATAACAAAATTCACTGGAAGAAAATTTTTTTAGAACCTTTACCTACAGTGTGAAACTAGTTGAAATTGGGTGGCAACTCCGCCCACTCCCCATAAACGGTACTGTTAAAAACTACTAAAAGCGCGATAAATCAAGCACGAAACACGCCAGAGACATTAAATTTTATCTCTGGGATGGTATGAGATGACTTTATAGGAACCGCGTTCAAAAGTAGACAGTGGGCGTGGCACCTCCCACTTTTAGGTGAAAACCCATATCTTGAGATCTGCATAACCGATTTCAACCAAATTCGGTGCATAACGTTCTTTTTATATTTTTATGTCATAGTGTGAAAATGGGCGAAATCGAACTACAACCACGCCGATTTCCCATATAACACCATTTTCAATTCCATCTGATTCTTTCACTTTCCACTTTGCATATCAAGCAACAATGATTATATCGGGGTAAAACTTTGCGTGAATAATACGTTTAAAGTATGCCACCTTGTGACCAAAAATTGTCTAAATCGAACCAAAACTGTTCAAGCCCCTAAGTACTAAATATGTGGACCCCAGTGCCTATAGTTGACCTTCTACCGAAAATATCAGTCAATTCACAAAGAAATCTCAAACGAGTATACCATTTGACTTTGCGAGAGTATAAAATGTTCGGTTACATCCGAACTTAGCCCTTCCTTACTTGTTAATTCTTAGAACTATTGCTGCGATATTGGCAGCAAAACTTATATGATAACAAGATTGGAATATCATACACTAAAGCAACTAACAAGTGTTGAATGTCCTTCTTTCAGTTAAAATTTCTTTTCCCGCCAGAATTGGAAGAGGCGAATTGGATAACTTTTTTTGCATTCACATGTCATTTTTTTGACAATAGAGCACAAACCAGCAAGCAGAGATGTGATTCGCCACATTGGGTACAAATCTGCTCATAGTTAACTTAAGCGACATTAACCTCACTTGTAAATATATTAATATTATATATTATACTTCTTAAACATAGGTATGGCATAGTCGGTTGAATTATAAGGGGTTTTGTGATTATTTGTATGAGTGTCTGCGAGCTGCAACGTTTACGTTTAAGTTACTTAAATAGCTTATGGGTGAGACTAATAAAATTGCAAAGCCAATGAAATGTATAGTTTTAAGAATATTTAAAAAAAATTACAAAGAGACTCAACAACTACTAACAACTAACTACAGCTACTGTTGAAGCATGTGGAAACAAACTTGGTGTGGGCATGCGTGTTTAATTAATTAAGTGCATATGTATGGTGCTCGCAATATGGGCTTATAACCTTCAAACAAGAGTGCTGTAAATGAGCAAGTACTACGAATCCAGAACAAATTTTTTGCATACTGCAACTTATTTACTTTCTCACCTGTCCATCGCCAACTTCGCCTGGTCTCAATAACTGTAATTAGTGCATGGTCAAAAACACAAATTAAAAAAATGTAAACAGTCAAGGGTGGACATTTATGTACATATGTATAAAAGTGTTTTCTGTGTGAGGTTGTGCTTTGTTTAAACCACTAAGTCAAAAACTAAGTACGTGTGTAATACGAAAAGACATATGTGCTGTGAATCTTGTTAAAATTTACACCCGAAGCATTATTAAAAATCATAAAAATGATTCCTTCATGTCGAGTTTTTGCGGTAAGGCCACATTTAACATATCTTCTATATGTATATATATATATATATTCTTTCATACTATCTATCTAAATACAAGTTTTAAACCTCTAAAAAACTCTCTGTGCATATAAACAATAATGATGTAAATATATTTAATATATATATTTAATTAAATAAGTATATGTCTTTACTCGATTTGCTAATTTACACAGAGCTTTTTAAGGTATAAAAAAAAAAAAATATTGGGATTGCTGTACAAAACACGAATGTAAAAAATTTATTTCCATAATTTGTATAAATGCTTCCGGCGCAAATTTTTGTAGGCTTCTATGATATATATATTATGTATATAACATAACACGTCTCGTATTATACACTATTATTTTGACAATTTAAAGTTATAAGGTTATACACATATATTTATATAGCTTCATGAAAAAAAACTTTACTTCGGCTGCACCGAAGCTGTAATACCCATCACAGGTGCATTACTTATAAATATAATATTCTATAGAATTGTAGAAAAAGATATAGAAAATTCGCATTTTTTTTTATTACACCTCATATATATATTTGAATAAAAACACGTCAAGTGGATCCCCCATTTTCCACTTGATCATCGAATTTGAATGTGAGTATTTTTTCATAAAGTAGTCATTATGAGCAAGTAATCCCCCGCTCAGTTTTTTTTAAATTTTAATTTTAAAAACAATTTTTTTTAATTGAAAATTTTTACTACTTTTAGTTAAAAAAATTAATAATTAGAAAACGATTGGTGATTTTTTAATGAAATTTTCAGGAGTTATAGTTCGAAACTTGTACTTTGAGAAAATATGTATGAATTTAAATAATTTTTTTTTTTCAAATTGTTAATTATCTTTAAAGTAAAGAAATTAAAATTTTAATGACTTCTCTTTCAAAAAAATAAAAAAAAATTTTTTTTAGTATTTTGCAATAAACATTAAAGTAACGAAATCCGCAAAAAAGATTGACTGATCGCGATTAGATTAAGCAAAAAAAATTTTTTATGACAGGCGGTCAGCGCTGCGGTATAGCGGTATAGCGGTTTATGGCAACGCGACGCTTAGAGTATTGTATGTTGGGATGATGGTCTCACATTTTGCTTGCAGTGAATTAGCATGAATGTGGTAGAACAATATGCATAATACCTACCCGCTTAATAGTTTCAAAGAAATACTTAAGACGGAAATTCCCTAATCCACTAAAATGTATTGAATACCCGCTATTAATATTTCAAGGCCAAACTGAAATTTCCTATTCTTCAAGTATTAAAAATCCATACTTTTTTTACCCCATATTTTTTTCTATTCATTATAAAACATTGAATTAACATTACAATTCTTGTTTTAAATAAAATGATATTCGAACTAAATAATAATAAAAATATAATTTCTTTAAATTGAATATTTTTGAGTATCTTAGTCATTGACTTATCTTTGGAGTTACTTAGTAATTATAAATAAGGAATAATACTTCATGTTTTAATTTAAAATATCGGTATTTTATGATTAATTTTATTTTAACAAATGAAATACAATAAATTAAATATTTTTTCATAAATAAAAAAACAAAGAAGTTAAATAATTGTTAAATTAATTCTTATAACTTATACGTATTGCTTTATATCTTTTTTTTAAACTTTATTGTTAACGATTTTAATGTCTTTGGCGAAAAATTGCACTCGAGTGATGTATTATTAGAGCTCTGTAATGATAATATTGGCGTGTATTTTTTATGGTTACACATCGTATACGTCATAACGTAATTTAAACATCTTCTCATGGGAGTCATGATCTTCTTGAGAGCAAAAACCAAAGTTAATTTTTTTAAATGCATTCTTACCCCATTCAAATAATGAAGTGGCATTAGTTATGTGCTTATCGCTTTCCCGTTGAAGACTTGCACGAAAAGCTTGCCTCTTAAAACTTCCTGCCAAACCATCACATGCTCCTTTCCCATGAGAAGTAGCAAAAAAATTCTATTCCGCGTCCACGTTGAAATCTTTTTTATGATTTATTAAATTCACAAAATTATACTTATTTTTGTACTGAGAAGCAGCTCCGTCCGAAAAATATGAATTTATTTTATCCGCTCCAAACTTATTTTTTAGAAATTGTATCAATTTGAAATTAAAAAGGTGAACTGAGCTCGCGTCGTGACTAACTTTTTCCGAAATTACAACGTAGTTTATATGTTTCATTTCTTCATTTTCTCTATAGTACACAACGTAAGGGTGAATTGTAGCCTGACTGGTATTCCAATGATGAGATTGGATGGCATTTTGAACAGTAAAATTATAATTTTCAGAAAAATCAAGCCAAACGATAAATTCTCCATCCTCAACAGATTCTTTCTTGTCAGTAAAATATGACGCTTGAGATCGTGCAAGAAAATCATGTCTCAACAATTCAGGCCATTTTTGTCTTAAATCATTAAGAAAATCTTCTTTTGTCTTCGTTTCTTCAATGATTTCAGTTCAAACGAATTCAAAATAAATTAACTGAATTAAATAATAATAAAAAAATGGATAATCAAAAGAATTAACAATTTAAACATACAAAATCTAATAATTTCATTATTATTATGTAGATTGCGTAACAAAATATAAAGAATATTAATTACTCAGTACTTTTCCATTGGCTGTGTGTAATTTCATTTATTTCATGGTTATTAAGCAATAGTTCCAATTTGTTGATAATACTATCACTTCCTGGACTCTTAGTACACTTTGAAAAGTAACAAAATGATGCAGACTCTTGGCAAACAGAGCTTTTAATTAAATCATTTGAGCTTTCTGAAATAATAGTCCCCTCTTTTTTTAATTCATTTTTAAATCCAGCTAATTTCAATTTGAAATTTTGATGGATTTTACACACACACATTATGAGTTCCACTTTTGCCAGCAGATATACATTCCCGAGGTCGGAGTTTTTGAAATTTGGGTAGTCCAATCTCAGGATAAGCTTCTTTAAATTTTTTGTGTATTTCGTGAACATTATATAATAATAATCGTTTTTGTTTTTGGATTTTCTTCCCATTTTCAATCACCGGAACATAATCTTTCATACCAGGCATTACGCGGCTGACATCATCGGATAGATAGAAAGCTTCAATACGGTCGGGGGTTTCAATGTTTAGAGATTTTCCTCTCTTAATCATAGGTTCCGATGCGAATCCTCGTTCTTGTCGTATTTTATTTTGCAGTTGTCACCATTCGTTTGGAAACTTTTAAACTCTTTCCTTATCATTTTAATCGACCAATCTGTAGGAAGCGTAACCTGAATTTTATTAAGTAAAAGCTCTTTTGGATCAATTTCACTATTTACATTGTTAATATTATCCGTAAATTTACTTACAACATATGTTAAAACGTTTTGACATTCTTTATTACTTGAGACTCTCTTGGTTTTGATTGGAGGTTCACCAATTTTCGTTAAAAATTTATTAGCCTTATCAATGTTTAATTTGTTATCTACCGGTTTGCAATGAAAAGTAGGATCTTTTTCTTTGTCATCTTCGATAACATCATTTGACTTCTCAGGCTCGTTGACTTCAGGACATTTATTCACCGATAATTCACCAAGAATTTCAGGTTTTCGGCCTGAATAAACAGTCCGTTCACATGAATTGCACATATAATTCCCAATAAAATCTTTAAAATCATGAGCGTGATTTTTTGTTATTAAAACTAAGTTTTTAATGACTTTTTTATGATTTTTTTTGTTAAATGGATTGCAGCATTTCTTAACGAGACATGACTAATTATCAACGAAATTACGAATGGCTTGAGATATTCCTTTGTTGTTCACATACTTGTAGATACTGGGACATAAAATATTAAGATGCTTTCATATTTATTTCTTTTAACCGCAAAGGATTTAGTTCGAATATCATTTTATTTAAAACAAGAATGGATTTTTAATACTTGAAGAATAGGAAATTTCAGTTTGGCCTTGAAATATTAATAGCGGGTATTCAATACATTTTAGTGGATTAGGGAATTTCCGTCTTAAGTATTTCTTTGAAACTATTAAGCGGGTAGGTATTATGCATATTGTTCTACCACATTCATGCTAATTCACTGCAAGCAAAATGTGAGACCATCATCCCAACATACAAATGAATACTCTAAGTGTCGCGTTGCCAAACCGCACAAACATAAACCGCTATACCGGCAGCGCTGACCGCCCGTCATAAAAATTTTTTTTTGCTTAATCTAATCGCGATCAGTCAAATTTTTTTGCGGATTTCGTTACTTTAATGTTTATTGCAAAACAATAAAAAAAAGTTTAATTTTTTGGGGGAGGAGTCATTAAAATTTTAATTTCTTTACTTAAAAGATAATTAACAATTTGAAAAAACAAAATTATTTAAATTCATACATATTTTCTCAAAGTACAAGATTTGAACTAGAACTCCTGAAAATTTCATTAAAAAATCACCAATCGTTTTCTAATTATTATTTTTTTAACTAAAAGTAGTAAAAATTTTCAATTAAAAAAAAATTGTTGTTAAAATTAAAATTTAAAAAAATTAAGCGGGGGATTACTTGCTCATAATGACTACTTTATGAAAAAATACTCACATTCAAATTCAATGATCAAGTGGGAAATGGGGGGTTCACTTGACGTGTTTTTATTCATTATTATCGAAAATAAAGTTCATCAATAAGGAAAAAAATATCTTATATCTTTACTTTGATCGGTTAGTTTGAATGTCAGCTATATACTATAGCGGTCCGAGCCGAAAAATTTGGGTAAGTTCGGATAGTATAGGTATAGATATTACACAATAATCCATGCCAAATTTCGGGAAGATAGTTTTTCAAGGACTAGTTCGCGTATATACAGACAGGCGGACATGGCTAAATCTATTCAGCCGGCCACGCTGATCATTTATATATATACTATATAGAGTCTTCGAATTTACTTCTTGGTGTCACAAATTTTATGGCAAATTTAATATACCCTGTTCAGTGTATAAAAAAACAACATATGGTTACAATTTGTGTATTCAGTTAGTATGTATGTATATATATTATGTATACATTTTATTACGCTTTTATTAGCTTCACCTGTATGTTTGTATGTAGGTATGTATGTATGTACATAAGAATTATGTTTGTATGCATGTTTGTTTGTTGATAACTTTTTTTAGAGGTAGTGAGAAGCGCTACAAAAAACAAAAAATGTTCCTAAAACTATGCATCGTGTAGCTGAAAGCATCAACTATAGATGCTGTCATTTCAATAACAAATTAATACAAATAAAAAAATGCTTTAAAGCACTTAAAACCAAAAAGTGAAAAATAAATATAGTGTAAAAAATCAAAAAATCACGTTTCTAAAGCGCATTAAACTAAGAAGTGAAAAATATTTCTTAATATAAACTGATTGTAACATTGATCGAAAATTATGCCATATTTTTCATGTATTTAGCACAAATGTCAAACAAAACTCAATCGATGCTCAATTTTGATGTTCTGTAAGTATTGCTTCGATTATAAATAAAAATAAAATAACATCTTGATTCCGTTCATGGTTTTGATGATATGGGCTTATTGCAAACGAGTAAGTAAGGGTTTGGTGTTTATTAGAGGTTTAGTAATTATTTTGGTTTCTGAAAATGCTGCAAGACCTTTTAGATATGAAAATGTTTGAAGTTATAATAGGTCAACTATACAGCATGTACCGATTTTCATATTATTTTGCACACTATGTCCAACTTAAAACATGTGATCGTTATAATCTCAATTTTATTGAAAATTATTTTATGACAAAGGTCTATAACTGTTTGTTAGATTGCAACAGATGACGGTATAACGTAATTTACAAAACATGACGTCATAATAGAAAATCGCATTGGAAGTTACATCGGTGGGAATTGCGGCTGCTGTGCTAACTGGTGAGCGAACGACACAACAGCATTTAAGTTACTATTAGACATTCATAACAAAACAAACGCAATACGTAACGTGAAAAACTATCAAATAGCGGAAGTACTGTAAAAAATGCATATTCCCCACCAGCCTCCCACAGTAAAATGCAAGATTTGTACGCCAACGACAAACGTTTCAGTGGTATTGTCGGTAACTTCCGAAAGATCTTGCAACAACAAAACGATCACCGGAAATATGCTTATAGTTCTATTATAGAGTATTCTATAATTCCCGACACCGTCAGAATCTGCGTTACCATTCAGAAGCCTACAGTTTCCTATTAGCTTAAGTTTCGCAATGTCTATAAACAAGTCTCAAAGCCAAAAAATATGAATTTGCGGTTAAAATTTTTAAAATTCATTCTTTATTCCAATTGACAAAAATTTAATCATTTTAAAATTTAGACTTAAAATCAATTCCTTGTATTCTTATACCGACAATAACGTTTTCGTCTTTATTCGTAATTAATATTTTCACTATATTGAATAGTTAATTGTTATAATATTTAATGTAACCTTAGCGACAGCAACGCGTGGTCAGATCTTTTCAATGATTTACTTTTTTAGCAATACTATTGAAAACGACAGGTGTTTAGAGCTAGAATCACATATAATCGAATCATATTTACGATTGTTAGAAAACATTAGTAAAAATCTGTGCAGGTGCGGATACTTACCCTACTATCCGCAACTTCGCCGGGTCGCAGTTTCTTCTAAAGAATCGATGATAAGTGTAGGATTGCGGTTTTTGTATGCGATATGTGTCACAATACATGCGGTTGTGTTGATTGTAGGTTCAAATAAAATTTTGTATTTTAAGTGTGTCGAATGTGTGGTGACAACGTGTTGTGGTAGACGATAAATTGATTGGATTTGTAATTATATCGTGATGGTACAAACGTGTTGGAGGAAGTAGCGGTGATTTGAGGTTTTTTGTTTGGTTCAATTAAACAAGTGAAAGCAAAATATGTTTTTATTCAGTGTCATAACATAGATGCAAATCTTTAATAGTGGTAAAAAGCATTTCAAATAAGTTAAACTGAACACGGACAATGCAGCGTACATAGATGTATATGGCAGGAAAACATGAACATAAACTATGCCAACTTTCACAATTCATATAAATATCCGACCTCATTTTTTGATGTTTTCATTTTTACTCTATAGTTGGTTTCAGTTTTAGTCGTTGGACATCATATTATTTGATATTTTTATCCGTGTATACAATTTGAGAAAAATAGCTGCATACTGTTTAGTGATTTTAGATACCACTTACGGGGTGAATTAAAAATATGATTGCCGAAAATACGTATCATGTTACAAATCATATGCGAAGCGCTTGTATAAATTTCTGGTCGAAAACCTATCGCAAAAATACGTACCTCATCATTTATTATGAGCGACGGTCGACGTCCCATTTCAGGTGGCACTAATGATCCCCGTCGGCTCGCTGGTTCTGGTGCAAGCGAAGGACGTTTTTCACGGACAACTTCAATCTTGGGCGGTTCTCCTGATGCAGGCGGCTGAATTATTGGCACCTTTGGCTTATCATCCTGTAAAATTAAAAAATTGGCATTATTAATAGTAAATTAGTGTATATTTCATTATTTAGGGGTAAAGGGAAATTAAAAATCTCAAAAAATCGATTTTTTGTTTTTAGAGGCCACGTCAGTGCACTACTTTGCACTTAAATGCGTTTATGTCAAAACTCAATTTTTTAAGTCGGTGGACACAATTTCTCGAAAACTTTTTTATTTTTTTATTTTGTAAAAACACCCCTTTGGGGAATTTATTTTATAGCAATCTAGTAAACTAATACTAATAAACTATTTGTTTCTGACTTAAATTTATACGGTTTTAAAATTACAAAATGCTTATCCTATGATATTCATTTCAGATGTTAAACTTATACTATTTGAGTGAGACCTGAACAATGATTATTTTATTTTATAGTTCATTTTTTTTTTTACACAAGTTCGAAAGGTTTTACTCGCTTTAATCTTCTGGTAAGGCATCATTATTAAGAAGCTGAAGAGCCTCAATGTTGATATGTTGTTGAAGTCGTTGTGCATGACTTTGAGCATACTTTTTGATGACGGTGTCAACAGTTTCTACATTCAGATCCATATGCAAGTTGTCATTACGAATGTACCAGGGTGCATTTACAATACCACGAAGTACTTTGTTTTGAAATCTTTGGATAATTGATCTGTTGCTTTGACTGGTACATTCCCAGGGTTGAATACTATAAGTCCAGATCGGTTTAAGGACTTGTTGATACAAGAGTAGCTTGTTGTATATTGACAAGGCAGAATATCTGCCTAATAGCCAGTACATTTTTCTGTACTTAAGTTTTAATTCTTCTTGTTTTTTTTGACATGTGATTTCCACCTGAGTTTAGTATCAAGGGTCATACCAAGATATTTTGCTGTATTCTCATACGGAACTATTTTTTGGTTCATATATATTGGTTTGTGCTGTATACGTTTATTGGTGAAATCTATATGCACTGATTTGGTTTCATTTAGCTTAATGCGCCAAGTAGTTGTCCAGCGTTGTACTTCTGCAATGGCTTTTGGTAATTTTTCTGTTGACTCAATATTATTGTCGCCAACGGCTAAAATTGCAGTATCATCAGCAAATGTAGCAACAATATTTTCGTTAAATGTTGGTAGGTCACTAGTATATATGAGATAAAGAACTGGTCCCAATACACTATCTTGCGGAACTCCCGCTTGGATTTTTTTAGGGCAAAAAAAGCGTCCTCTTGTTTGATTCTGAAATAGCGTTCTGATATATATGATTTCAGAATTTTCGAGAATTGTGTTGGAAGAAACATTTTAAGTTTATAGTTCAATCCTGCATGCCAAACTTTATCGAAAGCTTGCGCTACATCAAGGAATATTGCTGAGCACACTATTTTTTCTTTATGTTTATTCAATTGTATCAGTTATTCGATGAACCTGATCAATCGTAGAGTGTTGATTCCGAAAACCAAATTGATGATTTGGAATAAGATTTTTCTCATCAATTATTGGTTTTAATCTTTTTAGTAAAAGTTTTTCAAACAGTTTGGACATAACCGGAAGCAGAGAAATTGGTCGGTATGATGTGGTTTCATGGGGTGGCTTTCCAGGTTTGGGTATCATATTAACTTCAGCCACTTTCAATAATGACGGTACATATTGTAGTCTGAATGATGCCTTAATCAGATTGGTTATTTTAAGTAATGCTTTCCTTGGTAGTTCTCTAAGTATCTGGCCGGTCTCGAAAACTTATTAATGATTTTGTTCAAATTTTGCAGACATCTTTGAAATAAAATCATCTAGTAATTGAATGAAGATTTTATTTTTTACAACAAATTGTATTGTGCCAAATTTGACCCAAAAATGTGTTATTTTATCAAAAAGTCAAATATTAATTTTTTTCCCCTCGTCCAATTAAGAGATTTATCCGTCAAGGAAGACTAGGAACTAACGACTGAATTTTCCGAATTTTCAATAAAAATTTCACAAAATACTATTTTAATATGTATCTTTGGTATGCTGAATTGCTTAACTAAAATATATGATTGTATATATTTAAAAAAAAATAGTAAAAGTACTCTTGTTTTGAACCTCTGAAACCCACCTAACCCCTTAATAAGAGAAATATATGATTGGGTACAGTACCAGTGCAATTAACTAACTAACCAAATTGAATTACAATAATTTGTATATTCTCCCAACAAGTTGTACACAGTTAAATTGTTTTGTTCACATAACGGTTTTTTGTACAACCTAAAACTAGTCGAGAAGGTTATAAAGTTATATACCTATACCAAAATGATTAGGATAGCGAGAATGAATTCCAGATGTCGTTCTACCGTTAGGTGAAAATGTTTAAACTGCTATAACGAAGAAACAAATACGTTAGTACGGTCAAAGTGTATTAAAGAAACACAGTAGAATTATTAATGTGTGGTAAAGTGCACGTGGTCCCTCTCTAATACAATAGGTTTAATGCTTATATCCCACTCATCTATCAAGCTACGTCCATCGAACTTTATGGAAATATTTCCTTTTCGTATTTCTTGATACAAATTTTCACAAATTGTGAAAATCAGCGAAGTTGGTTTATAACCCGGCCTGCCAACACTACAAAGGGGATGGACTCATTAAATATAGGTGTAAAGATGGCAGAACTGAATGTGACTCGGTGTGAAAATTGGCCTGTCCATTTTTAGATCAAGCCTCATATATCTGCAATTACTCGATCAATTGCAATAAAATTTAGTACTTACATATCTTAGTCTTATAAAAGGGGGGAAATCAGACTACGACCACGCCAACAAATTTAGTCAAACAAATTAAGCTTGCCTGTAAAAATAATTGAAATCGGACTAAATTTTTCTGAGTTCCATATTACCGAATACGGGGAACTTAGTATTTATAGCTGACTTCATACCGAAGATATCGGTAAAATTGTAATATATGATAAGACAAGATAATAAAATTATAATACGAACTGGTGTTAAAAACTGATAAAATCGGTAATCTGTGGTGGAATTTTTAACCAGGATAGGAGAATGGGCTACCCATCCTAAGTGATGGGGATGCTATTTATTTACAGTTGGAAATGGCGGTTCCATATTCAACGGGCTTACAACCTACAGTGCCATCTGCGCTTTTCTCTTGTGTCAAACTTGGATCTTCACTAACAATATTATGAACTTGCTCAATGATTTCTAGTGTAGTTGCGATTTTTGGTCTTCCTTCCCGTGGATCGTTTTCAAGCCTAGTACGACCACGTTTAAATTCACCAGAACAAAATTCAATGGTGCATTTTGAAGGTGAGAACTCCTTATACGCTTCTAACAATTGTTCAAAAATTTCCTTTGCTTTTAAAACTTTCGAAACAAAGAATCTAATCACTGCGCGATATTAAATTTTTTCCATATATTAATATATTAATATTACTCTGACACGTCAACTTCAAATGACTTGTAAGCAAATAATTAATTTACATAATGACTTGTAACTTTGCATGTGTTCTCATGACAGTTGTACCAACTTGAGAAAAAAAATTTGGAGCTAGTATTGCTATTTCTATTTCCAACCTGTACTTAATTTAAAATTTTCTCATATTTTTTCTATTCTACGTCGAATATATCGCTAAATGGTTAATATGGTTTGGTGTTAAAACTGTATCAGTCCATTTGCTCCACTAACGCCATATACAGCCGGAAATTATTATCCGCGATCAATATTTTCGTATATTTATATGCATGTGAATAGCTTTAACAATAGTTTCTATGTAATTTGGACTAAAAGAGTTAAAATGTTTTGAAATTTGAAGTGCCGTACAAATAGGTAGCAGAAGTGTGGACGAGATGGCTCATAGAAAGTTAGAAAGAATTTCTTTTGTTTAAATGGCGGTCAATACTTTTGGATACAATGACCTGTGCGAGCTTTATAACGGTTTTGAAATTACATTCGGCCGTACTCCTAGAAGATAAGCTGTCTATTCTAGTTATTACTCCGGAACATAAGTGTGTTTATTTATGTCACACACTGCACTTGTAAGTAAAAATGTAACATATATTATAAAATAAAGAACGAGTACGATTATGACATTTGATACGAACCGTTTCTAGTGTTATTTTTATCGTGGCCATTTTATCAAAGTCTAAACTGGCTTTGTTTGATAAACTTTGTAATATTATTTCACGATATAAAATGCAATATGTCTTCTTCTCTTTTCTTTTTAAATTTATATGACAGTTGCCGTATTTACTATTTAAAACTTTCACTTCACAATTATTATTGAAAATAATAATAAATATTTTTTAATGTCATATTTGAGCCATTATCACTAAAAGACAATCCATGCTACGTATGAAGACATCTGATGTGCCCGGCAACGTAATGAAAACTGTCACATAGGGAAAATGCGAAGGTTCTAGAGAGAAATTTTTAATAATATTTAAGAAAAATGCGTTGAAAGCGCCTGCGCCTACGGTTGCTCAGAAAGAATTATCAATTTAAACGTATGTTAAAAAAACTACATATTGTTAATTATATAGTTGCATGTGTACATATGTACATACACATGTCCACAATAACACAATAAATTATTTTAAAAGTATTAAAATGCTCATAATTATTTACATTTGTATAAATTTGTCGATTCAATAAAAAACAATAATTTGCTGCGATAGGTATAGCCCTGCTTGTTGGAAAGAAAAAGTGAAATAATATTAAACAAACAAAAATCATATAAAATCATAAAAATAGCAGTCACAGTATAGTTATGTATAATAAGAAGGCCCGTTGTTGTGTTGACTTTTGGGGTCCAACTTAAATACCAAATACACATTATTAAAAATGCAAATGAATTTAAATACTATATAAATTAATATGAAAATAAGATATTAATGAAACAGAATTTCACGGTCAGGAAATGTAGACTTTATGCATGGGTATTCCTGAACAGACAAATTACTTAAGCCAATTTGGGATTTATATTAATTTGGATTGATGATGTGCGGGTATATACGCATTTATTTGTAAGT